CTCCAACGCAACGCCGTCTCTCGCGCACTCCAACGCCCCCTTGGCGCTCGCGCACACTCAACGCAACGCCGCCGCTCGCGCACACTCAACGCAACGCCGGCGCTCGCGCACACTCAACGCAACGCCGCCGCTCGCGCACACTCAACGCAACGCCGCCGCTCGCGCACACTCAACGCAACGCCGCCGCTCACGCACACTCAACGCAACGCCGTCGCTCACGCACACTCCAACGCAACGCCGTCGCTCACGCACACTCCAACGCAACGCCGTCGCTCACGCACACTCCAACGCAACGCCGTCGCTCACGCACACTCCAACGCAACGCCGTCGCTCACGCATACTCAACGCAACGCCGTCGCTCACGCACACTCCAACGCAACGCCGTCGCTCACGCACACTCCAACGCAACGCCGTCGCTCACGCACACTCCAACGCAACGCCGTCGCTCACGCATACTCAACGCAACGCCGTCGCTCACGCACACTCCAACGCAACGGCGTCGCTCACGCACACTCCAACGCAACACCGTCGCTCACGCACACTCCAACGCAACGCCGTCTCTCGCAACGCCGTCTCTCGCACACTCCAACGCAACGCCGTCGCTCACGCACACTCCAACGCAACGCCGTCTCTCGCAACGCCGTCTCTCGCACACTCCAACGCAACGCCGTCGCTCACGCACACTCCAACGCAACGCCGTCTCTCGCAACGCCGTCTCTCGCGCACTCCAACGCCATCGCCAGTCCCTTCATTTGCTCCGGCTTTAACACCAATAAACGAGTCTGTTATAGAGACATTAAGGGTAATGGGCTTGTCCCAGTGCTGAGAAGAGGACTCATCCTTTTGTGTCAAACAGCTGTTTCCTCGAAAGCTTTTCATTTTCAGTCCCAGAATCTTGAATGTTTGCGGGAAGATTTGCTCTCCGAAAATGTGTATTCTTGAGAAACGGACAGAAAAATACTATACTAATAATACGGGTAAGTAATCATTTTACATAACAGCAAATCACAGGCTTGTTATCGGAGGATGTAGGAAATAGTTGTGTGTCTGTGCGCGCTGTTGAAACTACTGTATGTTTTCTGTTTCTTTGTGGGATCGTTGGATTGATACCACATGGAAGTCACGCAAAAGATGGGAATTAAGTAAAGTGCATCAATCCGCAAATGGACAAAGATTTCCAACACAGTTCATTTAGTTTATCCAGTTGTTTTTAAGTCAATGTGCCCACATTCTCTGAGAGTGTCTGTCTTCAATGTTTCTCCTTGATAGGCTGTGGCCATCCGACTGAACCAGACCGCTATCCAGGCCGTCACCCCCATCACCAGCTTTGAGAAGAGACCAGAGGGCTCGCCCAACCCTGACAGGTCCGGCATGCTGCTACTCGTTCAATATGATCTCCATCCCGAGGATGGAGGAAATCCCTTTTCTTATTGTGGAAAGACTAAGCTGCACAGTCCTTTTTGATTCGTATGTCGCACGTGTTTTGCTTTTGGTCTGTGCAGCTCTTTACACATCACAGTTTCCTCTGGGTGCAAACTGATAACAGCTCCAGGACAGAAGGAGAAATAGAATTGCAAGCTAAGATTACTGAGGAGGATAATTACTGAACTGAAAAGGCATTTGGCTTTTTCTCCCCACTATATCCAACAGCGTGCAGTAAGTGGTCCCTTGACTGTTCACTAAAAGGTTTCTTCAAACAAGGATTGCACATTTCTATCTTAGCAAGTGAACATTAGAGGCGGATCTGTGCGCCTACGCAAGTGTTCGAAGGCTGGTTTGTTCTTTAAAGGCTCGAGAGAAACAATCTAGTTTAAGCATTATGTTTGTCCGTTTCCATGCAGAGCGTCTCAGATTAGGGTATAAAAATCAAGAGAACACGTCAACTGTGTCTAATGATTAGCCTTTTCAGGTCATTTTAGGCAGCGCTAGCTCTCAATAACATACTGTATGTAGCAAGCTAACTTGTTAGCTGTTAAGAGCCCTTGTTCAGTGTTTCAGCTGAGAATAATTTAAAGCTACTAATCTGTCCATACTGGCTGCGATGGAGACCCTAATTACCGTTAGTGTAGAGAATAGAAACTATTCACTTCTTTGATGCAAATATAAAACATGTGGACCGTGACTTTTTTTTAAAGTTCTGTCTGTGTCGTCCCTGAAGAGCGAAGCCAGGAGGCGTATACGTTACCAGCAGTGGATCCCAGAAGACGGGGGCCGCTCCGGAACCAGAAGACCTCATCGCCCCAGGGACGCCCATTCAGTTTGACATCATGCTGCCGGCCTCGGAGTTTCAGGACCAGAACAGGGCCGGGGGCAGGTGTGTGTGTGTGTGTGTGTGTGTGTGTGTGTGTGTGTGTCAGGAGCGAGTAGTGCTGGTGGCTGATGATGTCGATGTCCTGAAAGTCGGCCTCGTGGTTGTTATTCTATTATTTCCAGGAAGCCAAATGCTTCTCAATGCAGCACTTTAATTGTTTGTTGTTTTGCTGTTGTGTGTTTTTGCTTCCTGGCAGACGCACAAATCCGTTTGGCGAAACGGACGATGATTGTTTAACGGAAACTGGCGGTAACTATTTTCCTTCCTCCCTCTAAACGCCGGAGTTCTGCTTAAAGTCGTTGTTTGTGTTCCAGCCGTTTGCGTTCCTACAGGAGTGGTGTTGACTCGAGCCTTCGAGCTGCTGATGTTTGTACGCTTCCACAGACTCCCTCCTGCAGCAGGTTTTTGCCGTGCGCTTCCAAGGCTCGATGGCGGTGCGCTGCGGCAACAATCAGGAGGTGATCTACGAGGCCATGAGGCAGGTGCTGGCGGCCAGAGCCATCCACAACATCTTCAGGACCACCGAGTCCCACCTCATGGTCACCAGCAGTAGCCTCAGGTGATAAGACGTTTACGTGAACACCACCCGTGGGGGCAGAAGAAGACAATTGAGCGGATCTCAGCATTTAGAAACGACGAAGCATTGAGACGTGTTGCAATAATATCGACATATTCTACTTCTAAAACGTTTTGGAGACCAAATGCGTTGTGTTGCATTCATAGAGCTTTTTTGGTTTCTCCTCCTACTCTTTGAACTATTCTCCTGTAATGATCTTCCAAATTGTTTTCACCTAGACTCCCATTGTTTCTGCTACCAGGAATTAACGTCATTTTATTCAAATCTGTCTAGAATTGAATGAACAAGACTATTTTTAATATTTCTTCACAACAGGTTGATCGACCCTCAGACTCAAGTGACAAGGATAAGTGTAAGTATGACAGGAATTCGGTTTAGTCACCCAACTCCTACTACATAATAACAAATCAATATTCTCTCACTTCTCAGTTCCAGCTTGGAGACGTTTGCCAGTTTGCCGCCCACCAAGAGAACGGGAGGCTGATGGGGTTCGTGGTGGAGGGCAGAGACTGGAGTGACGGAGATGAGGAGGGCGAACCTTCGTTCAGCGCCTTCGTTTTTGAGAGCAACACGGAGGGCGAAAAGGTTGAGACCGAGACATTACTATTTTATCAAAAACCGTTACAGGCAAAATATTTAGTTGAAAATCGAATATAAAACTTAGTCACAGTGTACAACTTGTTAGAAAAGTATTTATAGAATATTTCATAATATAGTGTGTTATGTTATAAATGTTGAAAAAGTAATTGTCTAAAAGGGATAATTTATCTACAAAAGTATTATTCAAAGGTTATAGTTTACCATTTAAGATATTAATAAAGTTGTCTACAGGGTTATTACAAATTTGGCAAAAGAGGTTTTAAAATGTATTAAAATAAACTGCCTGCATAAACCTTTTATTAACTTTCATCTTTTGTCTATATTACAGATATGTTACACCATAAACTTGGCAAAGGACATTACAGAAGCCAAGAAGGTATCATCACCATGGAAACTGTTTGTTGCATTCAAATTCAAAACCCATTACTATGTTGGAGGACAAAGTATAATACACTTAAACAAATTTGATATTTGTGAGGCTGCAATCATTTCTCAATCAAACATTTGTTTTTGTAAACAGTGTCTTTTTAAAGTAATCCGACTTAGCTGAATTCTTCTCTAGCTAACTTTTAAAGGAACTCCACATGTCATTTTGATGTTATTCATTCTAATTTTTGCTTTTGTTTTTGTAATTATTCCTGAATCTTTTTTTATGTATATTTTTAATCATTTGCAAAGCTCATTTTATATCATGTTTTGTTCTGTTTTCCTGCAATCTTATTTTTTTTAACCCTTTAAGTAGCTGAATGAGAAATTAAATCTACTTACATTAATGGAGATAAATAGAAAGGCCTGTAGCCCCCACCACATGAAGGGGAAGTAGGTACATTCAAAATGTATTGTCACCACTAATGAAGTTTCTCCAGTTCTATTTTTTTCTTATTATTTATTTCTATTTCTCTTATCGATCTCTTTTATTTTGAAAGGACCCAGAGGCCCTGGCCCAGCTGATGAAGAACATGCCTCTGACCAGTGATGGTAAATTCCTGCTGCTGGAGCCGGAGACCGGCGACACGAGCAACGGAGCAGAAGAAGACCTGGAGTCTGAAGCCTAAACCCACTTAGGACCAGGACCACGGTCCACCATCTCCCCGGGACAGAAGGCTTCCTCTGGCTGGACATCGTAACTCTGTAACACCCATATTAGAGTGTAGTTCACTTACTTAGTAGTTACTAGATCTCCAGTCGTCCCATTAGCCAGACCGTGGTGGGGGTCTTTGGACTTGTTTTTAGCGGGTGGTGCTTCCATCAGAAGGGAGCCTTTACAGGTACGATTATGTTTCATTGCCATTTAACAGAAGGTGGGGACTCATTTGCTCAGTTTCTAGGTTTACATAGTTTGGGGAGTTTATTCTTTACATATTAACTTGTTTGAAACACTTATTTCCTGTGTGTACAAAATGTTCCATTCCAAGGTTATTCTGTTTGATAAGAGTGCAGTAATTAAGACAATCTATGGATCTTAGACTCTTTAACACAATGAAGGACACGGTCAGATCCTTTTAGCATTGCTTATTGTTCTCACTCTGGCTCCGGAAGCAGTGGATGCAATTTAGCATTAAAATAACCTTTTTTTTTTTTCTTTCTCCTTTTTGCACTCATGCCACTTTCAGGTTGCACACACAAGGCATCATGACCTTCTTCGGCATCCCCACTAAACTGAATAGATGTCATAAACCCGGTCATCGACCAGTGAAAAAGGAAGTCTTAGGCGGTCTGTATGCAACGTCCTCCTTGAGCAGCCCAAATGTTCTTTGGTGAAATTAGAACGACGTGCTGCGTTTCTCTAAAGCTTATGTAAATACGAACTGTCGGAGTGTCTCGGATGTGCCGTTTTAATCAGTTGGCTTCATTAAGAGCTTTCAGAGTCCGTATGCTCGGACTGGTGTATGATTAAATGATGGTGTTTGCGCTCTCTGTCCCTCTGAATAATATTTTTTTTTTTTAAAGAAAAGCTTTTTTAAATCAGTGAAATGTTAACGCATGTAGGCAGACCCCCGGGGGGCTTTATTATGCACTCAACTGGCCCGTTGCTTAAACATATGAATAATAAACAGCGGGGGAAGCGACCGCTCCGTGAAAGGCTGCCGTTCCTCGTTTTACTCCGTTGGAGGTGTAGCACGAACCATGTTTTTGTATTGTAATTCAGACGTTGGTCGTGCTGACGTGTCCGCTGGCTTTTTCTACTCTAATAATTCTACCAAGAGCTCTGGTGTAGAATTATTAAACAAGGAAGGATATTAAATCGATGTCCCCCATAATCAGCTATGACGTTTGATTGCTTGTGACACTAATTGCACTCAAAGGTTGACAGTTGGAAGATGCACTCAATTGGTTTCCTGGTGTAAAGTGAAATGAACAGATACATTTATTCCAAGGAGTTCTTGTCTTAATTCTACCATAAACATGTTTCTCTAAATGAAGAGCTGTGGCTTAATGTGCATTGGCAGCCCTTCTGACGCTATAAAGAAACCGTTGTCCAACCAATAGTCTGACTCTTTTCTCAGGTGCTGTTTGATGGCTCATCCTTATTGTGGCTGGCTGCAGCTCATCACACATACGCAAGCTGTGCTGTAAATACTGGATATATTTTTGCTTTTAGAAAGTTAACGCAGTTAGGAAAAATCTGGGTAGTCAGTGGACAAAATAAATTTTCTCCCCTTTCGTCCAGCAAAATCGACGCGGACGTGCAATCTTTAATAAATGTTTTTCTCTACATTACAAAAACTTAACAATACAAAATAGAGCATTTATTTAGAAAGCATTTTCCTTTATGTACATAGAATTGTCCCTTAAAGTATTTGTACTTATGATCCACGTAGCTGCAGGCACACCTGGAGGCATCAGCATGATCTCCACTACGAACTTTAGCGGTTTTAGAAGTAAAGCCAAAGATGCTGCACATGGATCACCTACACACATCGACATGTTAAAAAGAAAGCAGGGGGGGGGGGGGGGGGTTACAACACATGATACTCTGATGAACTGAATTTATTGTACAATTTTGAGTACACACTGGGGCATTGGATTAGTATCTAACAGGTATACCTTTGTCAAGTACTACAACATACGCACAAGTACACAGCTCAGGAGTCTTTGTAGTAGTTGTTGAAGTTGATGCGAAGCAGGAAATCTTCTAGATGAGGCTGGTAGCCTCTGTTCACCAGCTTGGTCACCACTGGAGGAAGATACAATCAGTTTAATTATTTGTTATAGAAATGGGCTGTAACTTCAAAACGTACTATTACGAATGTTTAACCTGGCCCCCTACAGTTTCAACATTAACGATTAACAATATTTAAACTAGGAGGAATTTTCTAGGCTTTTTGTTGCATTTCTCCCCTCTACTTAGTCGACGTGCAAGTTAATTCCCAGATTAATACTCTAGAACGGCATAATCAGTTGGCTCATAGTTCTAAACCAAGCAGCTGACGCAAATCACTCGATAACAAAATACAAAAGGTTTTTGTCGTTACCTTTGAAAAGGAAGTGAGAGTAATACTTGAAGGTGTTGTACGACTGCTGCATGGCAACGAAGCTGGGGTGCACTGCCTCCCCCTGGTGGCTGCCCCAGGGCTGTGCGATCAACTGGGCCCGAAACTTGAGGATCAGGCTGAAGATGCTGTGGATGATGTTCATGACCGGAGCCGCCTTCTCCGTCAGCAAACCCCTGGGGAGGCAAGAGAGTGCAAAGTTTATGAAACACGACAAGGAACTTTGAAATGACTTTTCAGGCTGACACGGAAAAGTGTGATACCAACAACCTCTCTTAATGAGATGGAATCATTCATTGGGTTCAAAAGTTAGGCCCCACATCAGGCTGGAATTTTAATTAACTTTGAGGTTGAATTAATTTTATATGAAATTACTGGTGGGGAGAGATCCACTTCAACTCGCTGCGCCCGATACAGAGCCTGAAGAAGTTTTCACTCTCCTGAATTTTTCTGCATTTTGTCAAGTTGCAGCATGAAATATTTATGGTTTAAATTATACTTCTGCTGTCCATATTAAAGTTCAACAACACCTTTTCACATAGCTACAGCCATGAGTTGACTTATTTAGTGGATCAATAAGAAAACAAATTAAAAAATGGCTTCGATAATGAACTGTGATATTCAATATAAAACTAGCAACGGTTTCACCATTACGAGCTTGAAACTTCTTTGAATATTTTCCCTTCGGAAGTTACCTAAATTAATGAATCAATTATTTATTGCCAATTGGCTTATGATTATTAAAAAAAGTCTAACCAGAAGCATCTGAGGCTGTGCCTGAATGACCCGATTGCCAGACCGCTTAACAAGGTTAAATCAACATTAATGATTTGTTGAAACCCGACTGATATTTGCGAGGAGAACACATCAAATGACACATCGAGGTTATTACATGTAAACAAATGAGTCCGCCACAAAACTGCTATTTGATGCAATTTCACGCAGGAAGAATAACGCAAAAGAATAACACTAAAAGGAAGGTATGCAGAGTAACTTCCTCTAAATGTGTCAAATGCATTTTCTTTTTAAATCAACTGTGTCCTCAGGTGATGCGTGTACTAATTGTGTATATTTTATGCATGCAGGCGTTGTGTTTACAAGGTTATCTGTGTCCGCTCTCTCGTGGGGTGCACAGGCTAAAAGCTGATTAAACTGAACACTGAAAGCTCTGATCGTTTAGAGTGTTTAAAGTTTAAAATGCACTGCATTCAAGGGGAGATAAGGACATTTGGTCTTGGCCCAAAATGTCTCCTCCGATCCAATATATTAAAGTATGTCATATCATACATCACCTACCTTGTAAAGCAAGATGACAGCAAGCGTCACACTGCAATAAACACTGAGCGATGTTCAGTTGCAGCACTCACCTGAAGATGGCTCTGTTGAGGTAGTCTGCGTGCGTGCGGTGGATGGCGTCCAGGTCGCTGGCAGAGGCCAGCTTGGCCGTGAACTCGCTCCACGACACTTGCAGGATCTGGTTGGCGATGTATCCCTGTATCACCTTGACAAAATGCTGCATCTCGTGTCTGTATAGCTGCAGCTGATGAAACTGCACTGAGCGACCTGCTCCTTTCAGCAGCGCTGAGGGAAACAAAGGCCGGCACGCGTCACGATCGGCGACTAAAAATAACCCGCTGCTGGTTACAGACATTAAAGAGTGAAGATCTGCTGCTTTTCTGTATCATGTCCCAAAACCTGCATCAGCTGTTAAAGCTCACTTTGGGCGGATCAGCGCGTTGGGAAACAGCACAGGCAGACTTTGCTTCATCGTATCCATCATACATATGATGATATGGCTGGAGTTTCCATCCCTCTAATATCTTAATACTGGGTTATTTTCCCTACAGGACATCCATCTAAGTAGTCTGCACAGGCTTCCACAGATCAATAGCATCCAACCCACTGAAGCACACCTTTTTACAACAGCCCCCCCCCGCTATGAGATGTGCCTTGTATAAATAAAACATGAAGGAATTTCAGTATTTATTTCACTGCATATTTTATAGAGTTGGAGCACAGCAGGAATAATCTTCGGGGGTCTCGGAGGGAAAGTGGAGCTTCAGCTCGACACCTTCTCACCTGTTCTCTTGAGGTGGAACCAGACTTCACGGAGGCTCCACACCATGTGTTTGAGCTGCAGCAGGAACGAGAACAGACGGTTGTACTTGTTCATGCAGCTGTCCGTGATGATGATGTTCAACGGCCAGTCCACCTGGGAGATGACACAAAGGAAACGAGGTGGGGGGGTTTGGGGGAGAAACAGTGTTCAAAGGTGTGAGAGTGTGAAGGAAAAGAAAAGGGAGAAAAGAAAAACAGGTAAAAGGGAGAGTGAGGAATGAGGTGGGGAGAAAGGTGTGAGGAGGGATGTTGATAAAGGAGGTGAGAGGATTGATGGGAGCGGTGAGAGATGGGGGGGGGGGGGGGGGGGGGGGGGGGGGGGGGATGTATAGAGCGAGAAGGAATGGAGCAAAAAGAAATGAGACATACAAGATAAAGATAGGCAAAGAGGAGGAGATTAAAAATGTAAAAGATGGAGATCCAGTAGGACAGGAGGGCGAGGACAACGCAGAACAAGAGCAAAAGGACAATACGTGCAGGATGAGTCACCGTCCATGTCACCCAGAAGACTCAACCCCAATCAATCCATTTAAGTGATAAGCTCATTTTCCACATCCAGGGCAGTTTGTCAAAACATGACGGCTTGTCACATTCCAGCTGCCACTCATCCCGAGACAAACGCGTTCATGCGAGCGCGCGCGCTCAGTCACTCGGCCCATTGAAACACCAGCGGCTCACCTTGTAGCGCAGCTCCAGGCAGTTGAGGGAGTCGGGGGCGTGTGGGTGGAAGGTCTCCGGCAGGAAGCGCAGGGCGAAGGTGAAGTTCGCCGCCAAGGGGATGTCCCCGTGCAAGCTGTACTGCAGGGCCTTACTGAGGATGGAGTTCAGGACCAGGGGGGTCAGCAGCTCGCCGGGAGTCTGACCACTGCCCAGCTGGGTGGAGGAGACATTTGACAAGTGAATACACAAATCAGTCAAAGAAGAATAACCCCCCCCCCCCCCCCCCCCCCCCGCACCTTTTTTGGCCTTTTTTCCAAAAGGGGCACGAGGGCCCGGGGGTGTTCTCCCCCAACAAAGCGCTGCGGGGAGCAAAATAAAAAGATTTCCTCGCTTTTGGGGGTTGGGTGGAAATAAAAACTTCGGTCTCCTGGGGCTTCGGGAGACAAAAGTACACGAATGGTTCTGCCGAACAGCAGCCGCGAGTTGGTATTTTACGACAGGGAGCTTTTGGGTTATCATAAGGAGCAATATGTGCTCTAAAACAGGAAAATAAATTGTGAAAACAAAGCGGCGATGCAAACAGTACTGATGAACTCAATCATTACCTGAATCTACAGCTCATTGTTCTCCGCTACATCCCGCAACTTGTCTATTGTTGGGTCTCACAGCTCTCGGAATACTCTTTTCAGCCACTAAAAACCTGCAGATATTTCCCTCAGGAGCTGGTAGAATAATCATTTGGACCTGAACATTGGAAACCCAACACTCGATGAATAAATCATGTCGCTCTGTAAGGGCTGAATGCATGTCGATATTGTATTCACAATAAAGTAAACTAAATATTGACATGTTTCCCACCGAGTTGATAGGATGAACGGAGCAGATTATTCTAAATACGCGCAGAGCTGCTCAAGGACATTTGCCCTTGTTCCTAAATGACCTTCTGCACAAAGACAGCGAACGCTTTTAAAAGAGCTTCACCTTTTCAAAGAGCAGATCGCTGAGCGATTGTGCGAACTCGCCGTCCTCCATCAGCAGGAAGTGGCGCAGTGCCTCAAAGTGTCTCTCCACCCCCAACTCCACAAAGAAGTAGTCCACCACTGCCTTGTTCACCAAAGATACACTGGGGACGGAAGGTGGGGGGAGAGAATGACCAAGATAAGAAAGGAGCCGTTCTGACAAAAGAATCAGGACTGAAAATTATGCTGACTTGCATTTGTGATAGTTTGTGAGGATGATGAGGATGAAGCTCGGGGGATATACCGACCAGAGTTTCACTTTTCAGATGACTTCCTCCATCCCGTTGCTTTAAATTATTTCAAAGCAATTCACATTTATATAACAGTGAGATTCAGGGGAGAGACTCTCTTTAACTGAGGAGTCAGCAGAGAAGATACAAAAATAGGGTTGAAACTTCACTGTGTCATCTAAGCACAGGATAAAAATGTGTTAATAAAAGTTTAAAGCTATTATTGCAAAGCCCCCCCTCCCCTCTATGTGCAGAAAGGGATGAGAAAGCCATTTCTTTACACACAAAGGCTAAACTGCACAGTGTGCAGAAACACTGACGAGCTAGTCTGGATCTCTGATGGGATTTCAAGCAGAAAAAAAATTCTACAAAAAGTTGGAAGGCAACAAGAATTTTAATCCTTCCTCCGCTGCAGCATTTGCATGAACTACAGTTCAAGTGGAGGAACAATCAGGAGCTCAGAGAGAGCTGCACACACCTGCATTTTACTTAAACACAGTAATTCAGTCTTTCTCAGACAACACGTCATCACAAACGGGCTGTTTTTAGTCCCTTTGTCACCAGAAAACAGAAAGGCAGACACTCACTGGGTGATGAGCGGGGTAGTGACGGCCTGTTTTATCAGAACTGGGAGGGAAACCATCTCGCTGAGTTGGACAGGCGTGGTGTCCGTGGCTCTGCGGAGCGTAGGGTCCACAGGAAGCCCCCAGGGGCCCCGGGTCACCTGCTTCAGCAACTGACACTCGGGGGACGAAGCTGCGCGAGAGGGAGATGACGGGAATAATTACGCTCTCACAACAGCAGAAAGCTGACAGAATGTACGGCGACAGTCAAAGAGAAGAACAATATCCTTCCTAACGTGGGGGATTCAAAAGTAAGTGTCGAAAGTTTTCAGAGCTCAAGTTTTGTAGGACAAACAATCTAGGACCAATCTGGGCTTTTTTACTTATTTTAAAAAATGTTATGAACTACAAAAAAAGAAAAAATTTCTGTCCAAAGTCACTGTAAAACTAAGGTCTTTAACCTTTAAGATGTCTGCCTGCATCTCTCTGACACAATCTCAATCAAACAAAAATAGATTTAACTGCAGCGTGATTCCAATAAATAGCACTTTATTCCACTTTCCATATTTATAGTAACACCCCCTAAATAATCAGGGCTTCTGACTTTGAACAGTAGAAGACGTATTTGGCTGATTTCATGGAGATCCTGGGAGCCGGCGTGAAAAATAGCATCATGACACACAGGGTGAAAAAGACAAGCGTTGATGCATCTCACCCAAACGTAAGCCAGACTTACCCAAATGAAATATCACTGCTTTTTATACCACCTCGCTGAGCCTGCTGATGGAGGAAATATTAAACAGTCCCTGGAATTGCATCATTCCTCAACATAAATAGGGGCTGTTTTTTTAATTGATGAAGTAAGCTTCACTGCTTTATGGTCTATTATTTCTCCACGATTTCACGTAATGTTTTGCTCTATTTAACACAAGATGTTTTAGAAACGTCAATGACTTTAACAAGCTGCGCATACTGGACAATTCACCTTCACCATGTAGATATGCTAATATTGTTGAATGTAGACTGCGAGCACAAGATCAGGGAGCCCGTTTCATTTTCTTACTGTAAATGAGGCTAGAATCATTTTTTTAAATAAATGAATTGATTAATGTTTGTTTTAGTTGTTCAGACTAGATGTAATTTCAGACTCCAAGAAAAGGCGACCGTTTGCAGATTTATTGTACTGCAAAAAATAATAAAAAACTGAATTAATGTTACTAAATTCATTAGCTAAATAATTTACCTGTTCATTTGATTTATGATTTGAATACACAACCTACTTCACTTTGGTTGTGCTGTGAAAATAGCCCACGTAAAATGTTGAAATAAGGCTTTAAGTGCAGGCCTCGGCTACTGAGATGGTGTTATCAAAAGATCTTTATAAAGGGTTCAGAAGATGAAAGGATCTGTAATCAACATTTAAGAACATTCTGCTTTTTATAGATGTAATTGACAAACAGCTACCGAAGTCGCTCTCCCTCATCTGTGAGCACTTTCTCTATTGCGTGCACAGTTCACTCCATTAGCATCGGTACATGCAAGAGACCCACCCACCCTTCTTCCTGTTGAGAGCTGTGTAAAAGCAAAATATATATTCTCCTCTCGCACAATTAGAGGTAATCAAAGAAGCTAAAAGGCTTTGATTTTACTTGACCATAGTTTGATTTGTGATGCTTTTGGCCATAATAATGTAAGTTTATTCTCTCACTCTTCGTAACCAATTTTTCTTTTATTCTACACAAATTAATTCCCTCTCCTGCGGAGTTAAAATGGATCCCCCGTTTTTTTCATTTAGACAATCGGTTTTGGTTATTTGTCGCTGCGTTGTGTCAAGAAGCGCGGCCGAGAATGAATGTGGAGAAGCATTCATCTTAGGCCAGTTAGATGTTATTAACTAACCCATCAGGTTGTAGCAATCCTCGTATTGTTCCACCTCATACTGAGCACATAAAGCCAGGAGGTATTCCTGCTCAGACTTTTCTCCAGAAGACAAACCGAAGCCTGCTGCCCAAGAAGCCATGACCTCATCCAGCTGCTCTCCAGGGCTGTCCGACTTCAGACCTGAAGAAAGATGTGGAACAATTGCTTTAATATAGAACACAGTTCAGATGGTTAAGTCCATTGTGTGTGTGTGTATAGATATATATATATATATATATATATATATATATATATATTTAAAATGATGAATCTGACTTGAGTGACTTTCTAGGGGTATTAAATTCATGTCTTTTAGAACTGCTCAAAAGCTACTGCACTTATTCCTTGTATGCCTCCTGACAACGTAGAAAATATTCATCTAATCTGTTAAAAGTTAAGTAGCAAGGAAATAAATCAGTCTTCAGATGAGAGGCGCGACCTCTAAAACATTGCATAATAGAGAAAGAATTAATTTGGTTAATGTCAAGGAGAATTGAACCACAACTGGAATAAGTATCTATAATGAATTTAGTGAGTAGAATCACTTCATCAATCATGTATTCTTCATTATTTATTCAATTGTATTATTGATTTCTAATTGTCAAGATCCTCTATTTTTGCCAGTTGCGCTGTTAAGTCCTGAGTTGGTGCGATTAAAAAAAAAAGAAAAGAAAAAAAAAGGTGCACGATTTTATTGATTCAGAAAACATTTGCAGCAAAGACGGTAAACTCCAGATAGTTGCTGCAGAATGTGTAGAAATCAAAAGTTACCTTTACCATCTTCAATGTCTTCGGTCTTGCCTTTCACCACGCACCCAACTGCAAGTGAGGAATCTGATGAGTGGCCATAAGTGCTGCCGGGTGGTGCCGCAGGTTGAGTCTCTGTCCCCAGCACAACACAACCCCCCCCCAACTTCGAATCAGAAGTGTGCCCGTAGACGCTGCCCGGCAGTGCTGATGGAAGCGGCTCCGTTTTGCTCACAACACATCCCACGCCTAAGTTTGAGTCTGAAGAATGACCATGCGCGCTGCCGGGTAGAGGAGAAGGCTTGGGCTCAGCTCCCGAAACTACGCATCCGGTGCCCAACCCGGAGTCTGAGGAGTGACCATAGGCGCTGCCGGGGAGAGCGCCCACGGCGGGTTCATCTCCCGACACTCCGCAGCCCGGCTGAAGCGTGCAGTCCGAGGCGTGGCCGTGTTTACTCCAACGAGGTCTTGCTTCGGGTACGTTCGACACGCAGTAGCCCATTTCCATGTTAGCGTCAGACACGTGCCCGTGGAGGCCGGGAACAGGACGTGGCGAGACAGCGTCGGAGATGTTTTCTCCGACTTTAATGTGGGAATCTGAACTGTGACCATGGACGTTAGTGGAGGGCAGACGGGCGCCTACTTCTGAAACATGCTGCCCGACTTTAATGTGGGCATCTGAGACGTGACCGTGGACATTTTGAGAAGGGAGACGAGTGGCCGACTCGGCAACGTACTCCCCGACTTTAATGTGAGCGTCAGAAGAGTGACCATGAACACTGGAGGAACGTAGAGGCACAGCAACATCAGAAATATGTTCTCCAATCTTGATGTGGGAATCTGATGCGTGACCGTGGACGTTAGAGGTTGGGAGGGGAGTGGTTGCGACTGAAACCAGATCACCCGTTTCTAGGGGAGCACTGGAGACATGAATATCTGGCAAAGACATGCTGTGAACAGACTGATCTTGAACATCTGAGCTGTGATCTTGAGTGACTGGTTTAGGGTTTGCATCGGGTGGATAAATTGCGCCACAGTCAGAAAGACTTGGCACTGCTTTGTGAAGACCATTATCCTTGCCAGTTTCTTCCGGTGTAGTGGGTGGGGCTTCAAACACATCGCCATCTTTAGGAGGACCCTCGCCTTCATTTCCCACTACTTTACTTTCCAAATCACCAACTTCATTCGTTGTCTTCTTGTTTTTTGCCGCTGAGCCACTCTCATCTCCTAGCTGCACGGTGGCTTGAGAGGGATGCCCATAAATGTTTGATTTGAATGTATTCTGGGACTCCTCTAGGGTGTATTGGCCAAGAGGAAAGCTGGATCTGGAGGCTTGGCCAAAGGGGTTGGCTTTGGGGACACTGTCCTGAAATTGAGACATATTCTCTCCAATGGGGATGTGGGAAAAAGAGGGATGGTTTTGGATCAGGTCAGGCTCAACAGCAGATCCCCAGTTAGGCCGTGGCTGGACTGTAGCTTGGCAGGTGATACCCTCAAGTGGACTAAAGGGGGCACTGAAGTCATAGTCTACTATTTCTGCTGTGGGACACACTTCAGGTAGGTCAGAGCCAATCACCTGTAGGGCGATGTCTACCTGCTGAGTGGCAGGATTCAGTGACTTGGGAAGAGAATCATTGATGTTCGTGGTCTCAGAGATGAGGAGAGAGTCAACCGTTGGGGTGAGAGCAGCTGGGTCAGGTGGTGGCGATACAGCATTAGCCTCTGGAGTCTCTGCTGGCTGCTGTTCAGATGAATCCTGACTGCGAGGTTCCTGTTAGGAGAAGATGCTAATGAGCGCATTCTTTCAATGAGTATCATTTAGTTAAAAAACAAAAAACAAACAGGTATTTATGCTGAGACATTGTTGTACCGGTGTTGTTGGTGGTGCAGTCGGTTGAGCAGAGAGAACGGGCAACACTCCCAAGGGAGCGCTCTCCAGGCCTAATGGATATTTCTCTAGCATTGCCTGGAAATAAGTGATAAGTGATTTGCTTAAATTCCCTTCATTTAATCGCTATAATAAAAAAGTTGTCCCGTGTCTGTGTGTGTTTGCTATATTCATTCAATACAAACCTGAGTCTGCTGCTTGTCATGCATGAAGAACTGAGCCCGGGCTTCGTCGAGTCGCATACGCTGCACCTGCCACATGGCCCGTCTCTCTCTCTGAGCTGCCTCTTCTGACAGACGGCTGTACTGATCTATCAGCTCCTTCCTGCAGTGCGGGTGCAGTAACACGCGCGTTACAAACAAATGTTGCTGGATACGGGTTTCCTCTAGAGGAACTTGCAGTAAATGTATTCCTAAGAAAGGGTTTTTCTCACATAAAGCTGCAACTGACGATTATGCTTGTAGACAAAATGATCATCTCAATATCCGAGAATCAAAGGGGATGCCTTCAAATGCCGTTGTTACAAGTGATTTTTTCGGGATCAAATTTGCCACCTTGATTTCATGGGATTGCCCTTTTTAACCCAAGGTCATTTAGTCACCAGGGGGCTTTGCATCAGATAGCTTCAAACTAGATAGCTAAAGATTAATATTTGCTGCTCTACCTAAACACAGTTGCCGGATTTTTCCAAGCAGTCTGATATTCTATCATAAATAATGTCTTATTTAAACACTGAATCATTTATATTGGAGTACAAATCATCCAGCAAGCAGTATTGTACCCAAGCTATGTGCGAATGGGTGACAGAGAAGTGCATTGGTCTGCAATAAGCCCGAGTGTGAATATGTGCTTTCAAGCTCTGTTTGGCTCCGAACGCTATTATGTGCCGCTCTCTTCACAGATTGTCACCCACTTTAATGATCTATAATTGATTCATCAGTAAAGTCTTTCCTCAATGAAACACAGATTATAGAATAAGTTAACAGCACATCCCAAAGGAATGAAAAGGCCTTAGTGAATTGGTTTGGTTAAAGAAGTAATTAATCTCTAACTCCCGATTGAGCAACCAATCAACTTTTAGTCAGCTTATGGAAATCCATTCGTTTCAATGCGCGCAACACAGGCTTTGAGCATATTTGTTCATGCTGCGGCACCCTGCCAGTATCCCAACTGTATGGTCATCCGGCAAAAGCCCAGCTGCAGCAATATCCCACACAGATGGATTGGATGCGTGTGTTTGCACATAGTCAGTTAATATATTCTAGAGCAAGTAAATTCTCGACAGAGATGAATCAATCATCAATAGAACATTTGCATCTCCAGTAGGAGCTGTAAAAGCAGTCTGACCTGGCTCTCTGCTCCAGTTGCTGCTCCAAGGCTTGTAGTCTTTTTTCTCTATCCCTCAGCTCTCTGGCAAAGCTGAAGTCATCGTCCTCCTGCTTCGTCTTTGCTACACTGCGCCACTGGAGCCAAACACAAACAAACATGTACCGTTGCTTTCTGAATTCGGCATCAAAAGCCATGTGTGCCTAGGGGAAATCACATTTTTTCAGTTTTTATTCTTACTCCTGACAGATGTGTTCATTTTAGTGGCTATAATCAATATTATAAAACTAAGGGGCGTATATATTTACAAGATTTTGTGCTCCCACAGTGTTTCCCCTGCTTCTATGTAGGGCCCGAAGAAATGTGTTGGTATCATGAGGCTATAAGGAATGAGGGACGTTTTAGTCACGCTTATATATATTTCTTACTCCCTTGCAGACACGTCCTCATTCCTCTTCACTTTCTCAGATATTTCTCAACAAAAGCATGCGTTCTTAAATCTGTGTTATTCTTATTCACACACACCTCTTGCTCCTGCTCCAGGTGCTGTTTCAGTTCCTCAAAACGCTCCCTCTTCTTGGCTTCGTCAGCCAGACGAAGTGACACCTGGCGCCCTGCAGGAGCCGAGAAATAAGAGTGGGCTGCTTACCCCCCCATGTAGAAAAGTACATTACATATCTCTCACACACACACACGCCACACACACATATGCCAAGACATGCACACAGCATCAGGCCAGACTTTTCACCAGTCCTCCCAAATTTAGCCACAAATATTTTTGAGCAATAAACAATGATTAGATTGTGCAACCATTAGAGCTGTGAGCCAATAGAAAGCATTCCTTGTGGCCAGTGAGAGAAGTGCATGTACTTCTGAGAGGAAAGGCGGCAGCTGAAGGACACGCTCGTAGTGCAGAGAGAGGAAGTAAGAGAGGGTTATACGGGGGTGTGCATATACATTAGGAGTATATGACATTACACTTGCTGTGTGTGTGCGTGTGTGTGTGTGTAACACCAACCGCGAATGCTCTCCAGGGTTTTGGCTGCTGACTCTCTGACCTGATTGATCAGCTCCTGGCGTGCCTGCTCCACTCGCTGGGCCTTACAAAAGACAGAAAGGAAATCATCATTGACAAGGGATCTCTCCGGCTGCCCTGTAGCTAACCCCTCCTCCCCCACGTCTGCCAGTCAGCACTGCCAGCAGCGCACACGATATAAGTCATACACACCAGGTTGTTACACTAAATCAAGCATTGTGCAAGCCCCAGACTTCAGCTGCATCATTATAATGACTCGCTGCTGAAATTTGCAGTACTTGAGGTGCAGTATCACCTCATGGATCACGTTATAGTATATATCCTGTGTGATTAATTGTCTTACTGTAGGTTAAATAAGTAAGTAAGTGGGCGACTGTGGCGCATGGAGTAGAGGGTGCACCGGGAACCGCAAGGTTGGCGGTTTGAACCCTGGCCGCTCCATGTCCAAGTGTCCCTGACCAAGACACCCAACTCCTACCTGCTCACTGGGTGCCTTTACAGCAGCACACTGCTCCCACTGTGCAGGAGGGGTTAAATGCAGAGAACAATTTCCTGTAAGTGTAAAATAATTCTACTATAAGTTTTCCTTTTTCTTCCTGAGGTTTTTTTAGGCTCCCATTGATTATTTTGAAATGACATTGTAGTCAGCTCGCAGTGACGTAATATTGTCTTTCGTAAGATTAGCACCATGTTGACCTCCATGTCTACTTACAAGGGAACACATTGTTTTATCATTCTTTAAGCCAGTCGACCAGATATAACTGAGAAGCGATGTTGACAATAGCTTCAAAAACATCAGAAGAAATGGGTTTAAAATACACCCCAGGTAGGATGCGACTGGGTGGGAACAATATGCATGAGTATCAGTACTTGCTCCTCCCTGCTGATGGCGCTGTGCTTAGCAACCCTCTCCATGCGTCCTCGATACACCGCACAGTCCCTCTCGATCTCCTCCACCTCCTGTAGGGAGAAGGTGACTGCAATACGAGGCACCGGCAGCTCCGACCAGCAGATGTAGTGCTGTGAACACACGGTTAAAAGAACGCTCATTGTTTTAAGTCTGATGGGTTTTAAGTGGCCTGTGATTTTCTGGATTAGTTAACTCCTTCCTGGGGTTAAATACTAATGTGTCTCATCATGGAAGACAACAGCTGGAAACCTGTAAATATTTGGCATTTCAGCATCAAAATAGTTGATTCATTTGCTGCTAATTGAAGGACCACATTTTGTAACAAAAAATGTACAATGATCTGTAGCAGAGGGTAATGATACCAATAAATTAGCAGGTGAGTCAGAGAAAAGGTAGAAGAAATTAATACAATTAGATTACATAAAACGTGAATACTTCGATTGGCTCTTTCCAGTCGGTGGGCATGCTAAGCTTTATGTTGCCGTACCAAATGCAGAGTTGTGCTGGGAATTCCTTGGTAACACACAGCGATACACTGACTGTATTTTGTGTACAAAGCCAACTGGTTTGCCATATAGAAAATTCCAATAAATGCACAATATTGAAGGAATATAATTTATATTTGAAACAAATAATGGATTAGTTTGGCAACAATTTGATTGATATTTGTAGTAAATTTAAAGCAACAGTAAAAATATGAGTTGTTTCTGCTGTTAAATTTTACATTTTGTACCATTTTCTCATGTATTATAGACCTTCAGAACAAGACATCCAGACAAAAATCATTATATCAAAATAATTGTTATCTGACCCATAATTGATCATTTTGATTATTGATTAATCTTCCGGTCATCCAAAGTGATACGTTCAAATGTCTTGCTTTGTCTGACCAAGAGTCCACAACTTAATTATAATATAATTCGAAAAACATCTGTCTCAGTACCGCATGACAATCTTTCACCCTGTTTTGCAAGAGCCCGTCTCCCCATATGTTGCAGTATTGATTATTTGTCCAATGCCCTCACGGCAGTATGGATTTCCAGATGGAAGCATGTTGTGGTAAGTAGATAACTGTGGGGTGCATGTGGTTTCTGTGGATGGCCGAGACATCCATCTATTAGTCCATTCAGTACAAAGCAAGAAAATCATGGTAGGGTTATTGTTTTATATGCCTGATGTTTTCACCAAAACAAACGTCAAAACGATCTATTTGTATTGAATAAATTAAGACGTAATTAGATTATATGCACTAATATCTTTACCGAACATTCCTCTGCATAAAGTACCTTGTCTGCATGTATGAATGTGTTAAATATGCAAAAACAAACCTGCGGGCAGCAGATTTTGAGGAGGTTGATCGTCTTCCCACAGACATACACGTCATTGCCGATGTGTCTCAGGAAGACGGGCACGCAATCCTCCACATCCTTTGAGATCAGCGTGTAGCCTTGGACCCAGAAGTGTTTGTCTGCACAGATTGAAAGACTCTTTTAACATGCTGTTCCGCTATTTAGACCATGTTTAACTGCTCCATTATGTCTGAGAACAATACGACACACTCGCAGCTGAAAACAGTGGTGTAGTATTATTCAGGCTGCACTAGGCCTTCCACTTTTCCTCATTAATATGACTTATGGAGCACAGAAAAACTCTGGTCGCCTGAATTAACACTTGGAAATTGTTAGCGCTTAGCTCAGTGATCCTAAAAAAATAAATAAAAAAAACAGGAATGCGCTGAGCTTCGAAAACTCTTTACAGAAAGCCAGCGTCTGGCCAAGAAAGCTTAGCCGCTGATTGCTTCTTGGGCTGGCGCACTTCGAGGGGAACAATGACATTTGTGTGTCCTCCAAAAAGGCAGAAGCAAGAAGTGCAAAGGTTCACTGTAGACGTTGATGAGGTGTAGCCAATGAGCAAATGATCTTCTTCGCCAGACACAGTCGAGGTGATGGTCTGACCTTCAATGGGGCCTTGCAGGACATTTAATGTTTGGACAGGCTATAATGACTCGCATAGAACCATATTTATGGAGGACTGGCAAAACAATGCTCATTTGGGGAACTCCTACAGGGCTGGAACTAAGGATTATTTGCATTATCGATTCATTGGATGATTATAATCATTTGGTCTTTACACCAAACATAGTAAATGGTGTAAAATGTGTATTATGTATAGTGCACAATGCCAATGCATTTTTGCTAGAGCATTCAGATTCAAGACACATGTATTCATGACAGAAAAGCAATCAATTAGTTAATTTGAAAAAAGCAGCTGCAGGCGAAAGGCCTTTGTTCGACAAAATACTTAATATACTTAAAATACTTAATAAATAAATATCACACTTCTATCCTTTGGTTACGTTATATTTCTTTAAAAAAAAATACAAATTCCAGGGCGAGGGCTTAAGCCTGCCCTAGTTACTGATATTGTCTGACGGGTGTATTTTGGGCTATAAGAAATGCATGTTTCTTTATATCAAACTGTAAATATTAAAAACTTGTTCTAAAAAACATTTATTTAAATGCAAGTATTCTCTCATCCTGTCTAAATGATACTCTTGCTCTCAAGTCATTCATTAAATAAAAATATCAATGAGCTGGTCCAGATTTGTCAAGGGTAATTTGAAATGCTTTTCATTTTTAGAACTTAGGACCGAGGATGGCTTGTGTTCATTTCTTCTCACCTCTAGAGCTGAGATAGTCCTCATTGACCTGGATCATGAATTCTCCATAAACATCCCGAAAAACGCCACTGTACACCCAGTCAGACACAAACCTGAGGAAAGTACGGGAAAAGCACAACCAGTCCTTATAAATATAAAAGTAATAATATACAAATATGAGTATGCAATAGATGAAGTCACATTTTAGGGTTACGTCATTTTGCTCACCGTGTATACGGTTCACAGCTGCTCTTAAGCAGCGACAGCAGCACCGGATAGTTCTCGTTGCTGCAGTTATTCTGCGCTTCCTTGTACAGGTAGGACAGCAGTTTAACACCCTGAGGAAAGCCACATGACACTGAGCTGACATTCCATCCGATAGGCTAAACACAGCCATGGTGGATGACATTTTGCCGTTTGCAGAAAAGAAAAAAAAGAGCACTAACCACAGGGAAGGTAGCTTGGCCTGCACCCAAAGGCCCATCTACACAGCACAGCTCTGACAGGTACCTTAGAAAGAAGGGTTTTTGTTGTTGTTTACAGATCTGATGATATTGGCATTCCGGTCCTCTGAGACGCGACCATAATGTTGACTGAGTGAGGTTGATGTTCATAAGAGTGAAATTAATACGAGACACAAAGGCAAAATGAATAAATGCCGGTCTGACCTCACCTTAGTTGGCGGCCCACTTTGCGGAAGAGGAAGCCAATGGTCAGCAGGCTGAGGGTGGGTGGAGTGCTGAGAACACAAGCCCTGTAGTAATGCAGATACTTCCGCAGACCACCTGTAAAAGCCTTATACAGAAGCACCATGCTTTATTTATTGTGTCATTTATGACTCTAAATTAAATGTAACCACTGAAACGGATGATACAAAAAAAAAATGCACTGGCCCTTTAAAAAATTGACGTCCCTTTGTGATGTCTGTCTACTGTCGTGCACTAACCGCCAAGACAAATTCCTTGTATGTTTGGCATATTTTGGTAAATAAATGTTTCCTGATTCCTGATTCCTGATCCTGATCCTGATGTTGGATATTTTTGGCAGCCAATCAGCCTCATGTACTAAAACTCTTTTCTTAAATTATCACATTGGTGTTTATAGATTGTTTAATTTGTGTGTTAAAAACAAAAACAAATTGCCACAACCTTGTTAACAACAAAAGTCTCATGCAGAGTAGAGGGTAGGTGTAAAAAGTGCAGTCTCCTTGGTAATAAAGCAACATACCTGCAAGACGAGGCCTTTCTTGTCAACACTCTGCAGAGAAAAGCGACTAAGCCTCAAGTAATGGGTGCCGTGCTGGGCCAGCTCCGCCAAGAGACGAGACACGCTCTCTGGAGAGGCTCCCGACACGCACACCCCAGGTCGGACATCAAACTGAACACTCTGCAAAGGAGATTACATCGTTACTGCTGGAGGAAGAAAACACAATGAATAACATCTAGTAAACAAACCCTCCAGCAAAGACCGTCTTTGAAAAGCTTATAATATAGATTTTGTTTTTCTTTACGTGTCATCTCCATGGTGATTTCTGAAGGCCCAAGGTTTGTGGTGTTATTATATTAGACTGCAATATATAATCAGGTGTTGTTCCTGTTGCTTCATAGTTGTTTTATGAGAGATGGATCCCAGAGAGGACCCTTCTGGGGGGACGGAAATAACGGACAATATATTGCAATTTAGCACACCACCATCACAAAGAGCAGCCTCTAGGATTACTTTTGTTTAATGAACACCTCTGACTGGCTCAACAAAACTTTTAATATCATAAGCCTATAAATTGTATGATGCAGGACTTAGATAATAGGAATAGATTACATTAGATTTTAAAAGGCATTAATGCCATTTTGTTACCTCTTATACCAGCCTAAATGTAAATGACAGCTGCTAGGGAGTACAACTACAAGGGGCTAAAAAAAAAAAAAAGAAAAAAAAAAAATATGAGAATAAAGATTTAAATAGAATCTAGTGGAGATAAAAACGTAATGGGCAAACGATAAAGGAACAGAAAAGCTCTCCTGTGGTTTTGTTTTTAGCATTAAGAATATTGTCATTTATCTTGTAATGCATCTTGTCAGGCGACTAACTGTGCTTGACACTGCCATATTATTTTATTTTTGTAGTTTTGCGGTAATATGCTTTCATAAGCCCATTGGGTTTGTTTTTTATATTGCACACGCACCGAATGGCCATCGATTCTGTTCTTAGTTTCTCTTCTCGCCGTCTTTTTTATTTTATTACCTCATTCACATTTATCACGTCGGTCTGACAGACTCCCAAAAATCACCTGCATTTTGTTGCATTCAGGAGACCGATAAATAACGATAAACTGGTACCTGGTTGAGAGGGAAGGTCGTTGACGCCACTCCGATCAAAACGTTGAGAAGGTCAAATACCAGTTGTGCTTGAGAGTCCAGGGGCAGCGGAAGGAGAGGAGATGGTGTGGCGGTGCTGACCACCCTCATCTCCCCCTCCCATAGACGATAAAGCTGGTCGAAGGCCTCCCTGCCTCCCTCTGTAAGATAGAGTGACTCCCTTTTCCCCGGTGGGCTGGTAAGCGTGTTCCAGAGAGGGAAAACAAAAGCAACTATAAGTGGAGATCTCTAATACATTGGTGACTCAGCAGGTTGTACTTCATCTGTTACTTTCCAAATTGCTTCGTTTGTGATCTCAAACAAATCAGGCGAAAATTATCCACTGGTCCTTAATCTTCAACTTCTGTTCTTTTTAATGTTTTAGATTTAGTTTCAACCCTTTGTCTGGAAAAAAAAGTTGATCAACTTAAAATTTTTCAAATATTCTGATATTTTACTAATTAAATGATTCATGACTTAATCGAAAATGATTAACGAATGATAAATCCGAACTGCCGGTTGTGGCCCCCACCACGTTAAATGAACTTTCTCTGTTAAGTAGCTTGACGTTATTATGATCAAACTATCAACAGCACAAGTGACGTGTCACTTACCAGCCAACAGATTCCCAGCAGCGCCGTTTTCCAGGCTCAAACGTGCGGAGAGCCTCCCATATATCAATGTCTGGAAGAGGGCTGGTCTCTGACATAGAGTCTGGGGTCATGTTGGAAGCAGACTGGAAGCCCTCATCCTCAGACTGATCCAAACATGAGGGGACCTGCACAGGCAACAATTACTCCTTATTCAAATATATTGTGCAAATTTGAACCCAGTGGCATTAAAATGACATCAAACCGACCTGGCAACATGACCAAGCAACTCAAACTAAACAAAATGTGTTTGCATAGTCTCTACTAACCCTTATAGTGAGCCCAGTCACATCAATATTACTGGGAACAGGAGGTAGGTCCAGTCTTATGTCTATGTCTGATGTGCGTGTATGCTGCAGAGCTCCAAACAGCGTCATCCTGGTATCTCTTTCAAATCTTTCTTCCGCTTCCAATTTAGATCTCAGAGCAAGCAGTCCTGTGCCTGGAGGGGCATCCATCAACCTCTGTGTTCCACACAAGCTCTCCAAAGTCCCCCATTCCTCCCCACACACTAGACCCCACGCTCGGGCCTCCAGCCTCTGCAGCTCTTCGCTCTGGTAGCCCCAGGGTTGAGGCCTCCGCAGCACGGGCCTCTCTCGTCTCATGTAGTCCCTGCTAAAAGAGGTAGGAGGTGGAGGTGCCGAACCAGCTAGATGTACCAACAGCTCCAGGACCGCGTTGATTTCCTTGAGCCCAGACGATGCTCCCTCATGCAGCATCCCCAGCTGCTCCTCCAACCTCTCTGCTTCCTCTCGGCACCCCGCCACCCGCAAATCGAAGCAGATCATCAGGACTTTGTTTTTGGGCGGTGTATTATCTGTGATTCTCGCCCTTGAGGCAGACCCTTTGGAGTCATCTTGAAATAGCTTGGACAGCAGCGAGCCGTACGCACACTTCTTGAGGGCTCTGCGGAAGCCTTCTCTGGAGATTCCACCCAGGGCCCGACGTTTCCAGGACACCCCAGACAGGCTGCTGTCACACAGGGCCCCCAGCAGCTCAGTGATGCTGCTGCTGTTGCAGCTGGATTTCGTGGAGTTGTTGGGGCTCGAGTACATGGTGGCACTGCTCAGCCTGAAGGAGTGGAACGAAGTGGATCTCTGTTGGACGGAATAGACAGAGATATACAGTAAACATGCATCGAGATTTTAGGAGACAACTATGTACAAACGTTATTAACTAACGCGAATTACATAACTAAGTTAAGATAGTAACGTCATATTTAAATTAAGCTGAATTAACATTACACCAGGTAACGGCAACTAACGCTAGCTAGCTAGCAAAACCAACATTTAGCTAGCGTATAATACCGTGACGTTTTATCAAACTGCATATTCAAATAGCCTGCCCAGTTCCAAAACAATGCTTTTGAGATTATTTACCCTCTCGAAACGGTCTGTTTTTGTTCAGAGTGACAGCTTCAAACTCGCATCCGCCCCGAGTGAGCGCGTCCAGTGCATGCTAGCGTTTGTTAGCAAGCCCCCACGAATCACCTAATGTTAGCTATGGTTAGCTGTCCTGCTCAGCTTGTGTGGTAAGCATAAAAACCCCAGTGGGTGGCTCCCGTGCACCGCTCCCGTATGTCTTTATTATTCGGTGGTTTCTTGTTCCAGCATATTCGTGCTAGTTAATATGTTTTAATGTTGTTGTCGCTAGCTAATTGCTAGCTTCATTCATATTCCATGATCTACCGCGATGCTACAAAATAAATAGACTCTGCCCCCTTCGATCTGATTGGACAATAGAATGTTGAGACTCTGGTGATTGGCTGTTGGAGAGGCCAGGCTGATTTGTCGAGGGTATTTGTCAGTCTTAGGAAAGCATTTTGTTGCATTCAGGAAATACGGAAAAAAATGTACATTCCAGCTGTCACCCTTATTAGCCAGTGATTATTAATAAAAACATCTAACGTAGAATCTTGTCTCTCAGTTTCCGTTGATTAAATCTGTAGTTAGTCACCACCAGGCAGGAATGACAGCACTTCATATTCTTCACCAACACATTTTCGTAATATATATTTAAAATCAGTTTGGAAATACAATAGCCTTTAAACACTATTTTCACACCTTTAGGTCCTTTAAGTATTTTCAATGTCACTTATTTCATGTTAAACCAATGTTTCTTGTGTATATTATGTGTGGTAAACGGCTGCGTGCTGTGTGTCTATGCTCACTCTGTAGTGTAGTGTTATTTTTTATTCAACAGGTCCCTTAAATAATGGATAGTATTCATTTTCATGTTATTTTGGCTTCATAAACTATAGATGTAGCCAGAGATCTCAGATATATTGTCTTCTTAAGCAAAACAATCACAAAACTCGGAGGAGATATTCTATTATTTTAATAATGGGGTTTCTAGATTTGTGGTTTTACACTCACCTCCCAGAGAACATTGTTCTTTCGACCGGTCGCTTTTCTCTCTTCCCTCTCTCCTCTCAGCGTATTAAACGAAGCTGTCAAAGAAACCACAGCTGAATTTTATATGTCTGCAACAGCTCGGACCTCCCTGGTTTGAGGAAGTTTAAATCCAAATGCCTCTCAACACGTAGTTCCAACCTAACAGGATATTTCATTTTGCACTGGGTTTCTTGCCGAGTGCAGCGAGCCATAGAATCAGTTGTTGGTACAGTTTAAAAATGACACCACGCCATCATTGTTTTTATTTAGACGTCCTCTTCCTCCTCCTCTTTCCCTAAGGCAAAGGAAATCAAAGCCAAGTCTTGTGTTTTGAAACATCTGCTAAACACAAGCATCTCCTGCTCCAGGAGAGGCTGTCTGCAAAGCCTCCCAGGCAGGAGAGAAGCCAGCAACATGCCGATTTTAACACAATTTCTTGACTGAAGCCCCGTGCAGTATCATGGATTTCTGGACAGAATTGAGACATTATCACAAGTGCACCGCAATAATGTTGACTCCAAAAATAATGGAAGCTGCGCTTCTCATATGGAAATATGAAGTACAGTATTGCCTATGATTTCCAGCAGCGATCAAGAACGGTGTACAAGATGGCGTGCTTGTGATAATCAAGTCTAATCACTCAGAACCCCTTTGAAGTTGTGCAATCTGTTCCTGCATCAATGATCTGCTCCGTTAGACCGCGGCCTGTACGGGCCTCTGGTCTGTCTCTGACATCCCCGCCCCTACGTCAGGGTTTGTTAAGCAGTCGGTTGAGGCAATTTTGCCTTTCATCTTTCTTTTCTCCAATTTCATTTTTAGCCGTCAGTAGTAAATTAATGTTTTCGCAGCAATTTTTCAAGCATCCCTGCAGATGACAGAGATTCCGGGCGGCCATTTACCCGATCAGTTATTTCATGAAGCCAGACCTTTTCTTCTAGTCTGCTCTCTGAGACGTGTGACAGAAACCAGATGTGGCATTTGGAGGGGGGGGGGTGGGGTCATGATTATCATAGTGTATGCCCCATATAACCACTGATGCAATCAACAAAATACTTTTGAGGACATAATACGTCCAAATATCTGATGAAAACTGTCACGCACTTGGCCCTCTCTTTATTGTAAACTGATTGGTGGATTTATGAAAATGATCACTTATTCAAACCAACTCATCACTCCTGGCTGTGTGTAAGTTCTCCAGTGAGGGAAATGTAATGCTGCATAAATACCAAAGTCTTAAAGCAAGGATTCAGTTCATTTTAACAAGAAACCCGCGGCGAGTGTTACTCCCTCAGCCAAGGTGACTGTGACTCATGCAATATGCATGGGAGGTGACTGTTCAATTGAAGCAAATCAATATTCTTAAAGTGAAAGAAACACAGCAGAAATGAAGGGCGTATACGTCTCAGAGTTTATTCACGAAGGAGTGTATGATGAAATCTGTGGGTAACTGCACCGTCCACACACAACTTTTGTCAAAATTAAGTTCATCCAGTACAACTAAACCAGGTACAAGATTGAGATTCTCCTGAGCTGCCTTAGATGAAAAGTTGGCTCCTATTACTGGAAATGGAGTGTCCAAGTTTCTCTTAATCATTACAGCACATTCACAATTTTCAAAATGGAAATAGGTCTCGACATCTGCACAAATAGCTTTTTTTCTCTTTTGTTTTTTTTTTCCCCAGGACTTTAATGCATAGGATTATACAGTTAAGATACAGTATTTCAACATGTTTTACAAAGATTTATATGGTATAGGAAACAAGAAAATAAAAATAACTGCACAGCAGTAAGAAAAGTCATTTGTCGAGTATAGATAGTCATTTATCGTACACACCGAGGAACAGCTTAGAAACACAAGCCGAAAGAAAATAAACACTGCTGGAACAACTTTGCGCTATATTCAATCTACACAAGGTCACCCTTTTGATTTCAGACTAATTTAAGAATGCTAGACATTTTCAAGGGAAAACCCAAATCACATTGGCCACATTGTTTTACATTTATCCATTTTGGCCTTTTGCCTCAAAGCCACCAAAGTCCTACTAAGCACACGCCACAGACACCCAAAGGAAATGCACACATCGAAACTGCAACCGTAAAATAAATCATACTGAAATGTCTTCAGCCAATTGGCACGTACATGGCTGCTGTAGGGCATGTAACAATTTAGACAGCACACATAATATCACAAGTTCAAATACATTGCTGTGTCTATATCACTATCGTCATCATAATCACTTACCAATAGAATAATTTAGAAACAATATATATGTATCATCCTACTCAATAAGGCACATTTTTGGTTAAAGAAAGGCTCTGAAAGAAGCTTCTTGCATCAACTCTGTCAGTGAGGGCGGAGTCAGCCGTAAACAACGGCGGAGACGACGACGGGAGTCTGCGGTCGGCATGCAATTAAGATCGAAAGCCTCCCCTGCTGATTCCATTATACAGAGTGCCACTCTGCACTGCGCTGAGTGGGCAGTGCAGAGTGCTGTTGGTCGGGATGCCAGAGTGCCACGCTGAGGCAGCAGGCAGACGGGCAGGCTCGAGGTCTGTGCAAACCGCTCTGTAGCCAAGGCAGGAATCGTTAACATTCTGGAGTCTCTGGAGCTCGTTGTGCTCGGTCAACTACCCACATCCGCGATGAGATACGGGGAGTGCGATTAAATCGCCATCCGTCGACAGCAAACCCCACTGATAAGGGACGAAGCATGGTGGCGTTAAACGGCCCAAGAAATATCAAACCCTGTCGACACCTCGGCTCTGACACTGACACATCAACAACTCAATTACTCAAACAATTATGTACACGATTGAATCTGATCTCCCGAACATCACACAGGGGGTAGAATCGCTATAATTTGTTTAAAATGACCAAGTACCAACTGCATCTCTGGCAGGTAATCAGCAAAAGTCTATTTCATAGCTTTAGTGGCCCGATGCCTGATGACTATTTGGGACATTACAAGAGCAATACAAAAAAATGGCACAAAAAATCATGAACACTAACAAATGAATCAATCTGGAAATTTCTCTAACATATTGCTGAATTGCTACTGGATGTGAATACACATAGTAAGCTAGTGTGAGTGTCGATTGTGGCTCATGCTATTCTGACATTATTGCAGTGCTAACATTGTTCCATGGCAGAATAAAGTTGCTTTTAGCTGACGCTTCCAAAAAAATAAAAATAAAAACTTTTACAGCACAGCGAAAATATGAACGAAATGTCTTAAAAACCGTTTGAAATGTCCTTCTGTGCTTTAGTTGAAGTGGAATGTATCATGGCGCTGTACAATAAAGGGAGACAGACTGCGCTATTATCGATTCCCACGAGCACAAATGGCAATCCAACTTATTCTACTCAAACTTTTCTGAAACTTCTATTGACCAAGCAATCATTTGAGCCTGTGCATTGCTAGATTAACCGGTGTCCCGCTGAGGACCCTTTGGTCTCTGTCAGACGGCTCTGTGAGAGCACAGGCTCCAGTGTGTCACTGGGTACGAGGGCTTCAAATGACGGAAAGCAGGCGTCCCCTTGGTCTCCACGCCTGACAGTAGGCATCCTGTGTGTGCATACCCATTCACACCCATTCACACACACTTAAAATTTAGCAACGCACTCTCGTGTTCACATGTGTTACTTCACACAGACATCTACGCACACATAGGCTAATAAAAACACTATCCACACTACACGGTGATCCATTTAAAAAGATAATTTGTTTTCTTTATAAAGCTTTCCGCATAAAGACTGCACAATAAAAAAAATATATAATACAATTCTTAAAACCTTTTCTACACAGAAAGAAATTGAACATCTGATTATCGCCTGTGCCTCCACAGAGGGGCTTAATTCTCAGAGATAGGTCTACCGCGCTGCATTGTGGGAGCAATATTCAGCGAAGCGTGAATGAGCGAGCAGACCTTTAAGGTTTGGCAAGTGAGCTTTAAGGCGTACCTATGACAGTGTAACACATCATTTCCCTCCCCCTTCTGCTCTCTATCTGCATGTCATTAAGTCCCTGCTACTCCACAGTCCCCGGGACAACTTGTACAATATACACACCCCCCTTTTACTTCCATGGTTTATACTCTAAATGAAGAAACAAGCCTGTGTAGTCACTACCATTCACCCCCCTCCTCCCCTCCACTCGTGGGTTAGAGATCAGTCACTTTGTTTTCCAGGGCGGCTGCTATCTGCTGGAGCCGCAAGGACAGCTGCTTACTTTGGGCAGCTGGGTCCTCTTCCAGGGATGTGATGATCTGAAAGAGGGATGGAAGGAGAGAAAGAGGGGAGGATGAGGGAGAAGTCGGATATGATGAGCAAAGAATTGCGCGGAGGAGGGGGCAAGAGAAGAATGGCAGAACGCCGGAAGAAACGGGGGACGGGGGAGACGGGTAGAGAATGAGAGGAGGACAAAGGGGAAGGAAAAGGGCAGAAAGTGGGAGGAGAGGATGGTGTTATTTGACATTAACGGTCACGTCATATGAGCCGTTATTGTTTGCAAGCAACACTTAGGGGAGACTGACAGCCCCATTTGTTTATCCAACTTGTTCATTAGGTTTTGTTTATCCCCTTTTTGTGACCTCAAGTGGCAATGCACAATGGACGCTTAAAAATCAATTCCCAGAGCAATTTTCCAATTCACATCCCACAGAAATGCTTTCAATTAAAATTTCATACAAATCACTCTTCTGGCATATCAAGAGTGAAGAGAGAAAAAAGGAAAAGCAATAATATAGTGGGCAGTAGTGCATTCAGTGGCATCTTCTCCGTCGGGTGCGATAGCAAAGGAAAGAAAAGGGCCTCTTACCGCATCATAGTATTTGCTGGCGTATTGATACAGCTGATGGAGAGCCACTTGTGTGTTCAGTTTGTCTGTGTGAGACTGGAGAACAACAAAAAACAATTAGTGACAAAATGTAACTTCGCCATTAAACTGTAGCGTTGAATCAGCAAGTTACGCTCGTTTCAAGGTTTAAAAAATAAAAAATAAAAAACTACCCGTAGAGCCAATATTTAAGAAAACAAAACTAAGACGTATTCTGGTAAGTTTTAAATGTTTCTATTACAAATTAACGCTTTTTATCATTCCATAGTTAATTGCAGAGTACGCCATAACTTGCTGAGGAATTCAAAGGAAACTATCTTGTATCTTTTTGAGATCATCCTCACCGTTTGCCCTCCTACATCTGCATAGCAACCGTATTGAGTCGCTCACACAAAAAAAGGTGCTACTCATTGAAACAGTGGGTGCAGATATGAACAGTTGCTCCTGTGCCCTGTTGCTGTTCTGGGAAGCATGAATTCAAATCGCAGCAGTAGCAGAAATTATTGCGAGAATGAAAACAGCTTTTTGATTGAATTTCTGACCAAATAGTTGCTTAAGAAAAGTTACTTTGGTATTAAACGTCACTTGTCTGTTTGAACAAGGCCTGAGCTTGAAGTGGCAATCTCAAAAATGTACATTAAGGTACAGAGCACATGGATGAAAGTAACACATTATACAACTGCAGTGTTAACAAATGGTTATATGCAGCAACATAAATGACAAAATGCTGTATTGGATCTTTTCTCCCTTATAAAGAAATGGAAGTCTGCACAGAACCCTCAAAACTTGAACATGCATCAACATAAAGTCTCCCAAACAAAGCAAAATCCCATTGTTTTCACTGGGACTGAACTCGGAAGGGTTGTCACTTTAAGGATTAGAACTTTAATAGCAGAGCGATCTAAGTGGAACAGCAAATGACAGCAGTGTTTCTCACCCGTGACACCTCTGCCAGATGAGTGTTCATGTCCTGATCGCTGACAGGAACCATCTGCCGGATGCCCTTGTAGTAACTGCGCACGCACACGCACACACACACGCACACACACACACACGCACACACACACAGGGCGTTTTAATCACCAGACTCGAACTGTAATTGTTATTGACAAACACTTAAAATAAGCCCTTTTAAATGAAGAAAATCGTGCTGATCGGACTTACTCATCCACCATCTTCTTGTAGGTGGAGATCTCCTTTGCATAGAGTAGTTTGTTACTTGGAGAGTCCTAGAGACAAAAGGTGGACACAGGAATGAAAACGACGGCACTTACGAATGAGTGACCTTTGACGTTCCCACTTCTCACTCCTCCTGGAGCCCACTTCACAGTCGGTTATCCCATCTTCCCTCAACTCACACCCTCCCTCCTCCTCCTTCCTGCTCCCCACTTACGCGGCTGAGTTTGTGCTCGCTCTTGGTGCAGGCGTCCATGAAGGTCTGGGCGATGACGGAGAGTGAGGCGTCCACCACTTCAGACACGTGGACATCAAAGGTGAAGTGGGGATTCTTGAGGATGTTCACCCAGAAGCGCAGAGGAAGACTGTGCGAGAAACAAGTCCATCGTTGAGTTAGTTATCATTAGTGCTGCTGCAGAACGGGGCAATATCCAATCAACCGCATTACATCGATGAATCCATCGGAGTCAGAGGGGCCATTTCATGTGTGAGAGCGCTTTGCCTGAGGTTCGATTGAGTGCAGTACGAGATAACAACACGATGGAGCAAAGCCTTTCTTATGGGTGCCAGTTTATTCAGAACAATACCCCCGATTGTCCGTTTGTATTAATATTTCATATGATACTGACCTCTTGAAGAATCATTGCCGTTATATAAAAATAAAATGAGGAGAAAAAGAACCCAATAATAATAGTGATCTACGTTGAGCAAAAGTCAATGAGGATTGTTTCACACGAAAACTTTGACCTTTCAAGTTAGCGTGCAGCCTCCCAACCTAAAGCGCCGACTTTAATGGAATACTTGAGCACGCTCGCTAATTTCCCCTCTGAACAGGAAAGCACACGCTCCATACGCTCATTTCCAACCTCATGGCCACATGGGGGATTCAAAGGAATGCCCCTCCCTGATCAGAGCGAATGCCTCGCCACTTGAGACGCAAGGCGCAAACCGTGTAAAATTCATCCTGGTTTAGTAATATCTCCGGGGAAAGCTGCAGAGAGAATACAATAGAAGCACAAAAATAGCAATGTTGCTATAATCACAGAATGAAATTAGCTTGGGACATAATTACCATGTTTGTTTGTTGTTGTGCCTCATACACACATTCATATTTAATACATGGCCCTCAGTTGATTTGATAAACAGAACGGGTGGATGCAGAACGTGGTGTGGAGTCTGCGAAGTAATTAAATCGCTCATCTCCTGTCCTTGTGTGGATGCTCTCTTGCCAGCCTTACGTCAATCACCAGCATCTAAATGCAACACGTCGTCTTGTACGCTTGAGCCTCAGTCGACGGGACACAAATTTATGCGCTTAAATGTCACAAGGGAGCAGAGAGATTGCAAATGCAAACTAAGTGAGCTAAAATTGTGCATTTGTATTCAGCTCTTTCTTGGACAAGTAAGTTTTATTTCTTGGAGAGTTACTGTATCTCAGGGATTGGAATGTGTGCTGTTGCTCACAATTGGACCCTATTTTGGAGATTTGAGTAGTGGTAAATTGGTAGTGGACTGTACTTGTATAGATCTTTTCTAGTCTCCCGACCACTCAAATCCACTACCTACATTTGATAAGCTTATAAAATGTAAAAACATTAAACTCTACCGCTTTAATGTTAATGAAATGAGGACTTCCTCCCTCACTTATTACCGTATAGTAAATCCAAATGAAACACATCTGTTTATACAGTACTCTTACCTGTTAGTCTTCCAGATATGGATGGTCTCCTCGTCCACATTGTTGTGTTTCAGTGCCTGCTCATCCAGGAAGTCAAAGAAATATTTGATAGCCGGTGGAACAACTGCCCCAGAGCACAGCACGCTGCGGAAGAAGTCATCCACAAACTGCTGCAGCGTTCCCTGAAAGAGGCCACAAATAATGTGAGACAGGGCGCCAAGCCAGCGACGTCACAGCTGTGAGATATAGCCATTTGCACGCAATGACAGCGGAAATATTTTGGCTATTTTCTGCCAGAAGCCATGAATTTATCTTTGCTTTTTAACTGAACAAAAATTGGTATTAGCCAGAAATAAGGCAACTACTTAACAAACGTCTCTTTACCTTGACGGAAAGGAGCCGTGTTAAATAGATCTCTGTAATTGCTTTGGTCATCGACTTGTCCTTCATGCTCCCTCGTTTGGATTTGACCTCATCCAGCTCGTCTGCCGGCCTCACCAAGTGAAAGACCTTGTCATCTTCCAGCAGAGCGTTTCCTATCGACGGGAGAAGAAACCAAACTTTAAACTCTCTTCTAAAAAAACGTCAAGTGAATGTCGATGCAGAGAAATGATGAATGCAAAACAAACTATTGTGAAATGCACATAAAAAGGCAGAAGATGAAAGTGCGTATTGTGTCAGCATAATGTAACATTAATGAATTAGCATGTAACATGAGAGTGGGGATGAAACACAGACAACCATTGTCTGTGCTTATGTGAACAGTAGGAGTGTTTTCAGAGACACGTACGCTCTTCGTGGTTTTCCTGGTTCTGGTCGTAGTTCTGATGAACGGAGAACGCTTTGGACAAGACTAATGTGGCGTTATCTCGTACCTGGAACGCACATAACAGCCTTTTGTTAGACAGAAAACACACACTTCCGTAATAGGTGCTGTGACAGAGGTCGGCAGTCGCCCTTAGCGCCACACAACTAATTCCTAATCAATACGATTGAGTGAACAGCATTATTGGGGAATTTAAGGGCCATTTTTAAGGGCGTCGATTTGCACTACTTAAATACAACCAGTGAATCTTTGGCAGCTTTACTGTTGGACCTCAGCGGTTCGCATGAGTAAGAAGAGCACCACGTTGAGAAAGCAGAGACAAGGAGGGCGAGTGGGGAATATTTGCGAGTGACCTTTTATTTGACTTGGATCAATACAGTGCCAAGAAGATTTAGTGGCCTTCTGTCGCCACTGAGCGCTGACGAGAAGCACTGATGAAGGCAAACAGTGAAGAAAAAAGGCTAAATGTGTGTTTCGCTTGAATATTTGATTAATGGACACACAGCGATCTACTACTTAAATTGGCACAAAGACTGAAAACAGGAGGACAGCTAGTCTGGTTCTTTCCAATGGTAATAATAAAATGCCCATCAGCAACTCTAAAGCTCATTAATCAAGAGCCAGGCTCGCATTTCTCCCACTGCTTCCAGTCGTTGTGCTAAGCTAACTAACGAGCTGCAGGCTCATGTTAAACGGACACAAGTGAAAGCCGGATCGAGCTTCTCATCCAACGCTCTGATTTAGTGAATGCTGTCATGTTATCACCATCCAAGTCAGTAAGATAACTAATTTTACACATTTACATATTTAACCGTTGGTTAATAATATGGACATGTAAATAGACTAATTAGCTTAAAAGAGTAATAATAAAATAATGTCTAAATGTGCAGATGACGGATTTCACTGTGACACAAGATGTACCGCTCAGCCTTTGAGTGAACACCATTCACGTCCACACGCCTACATATTGCTATTTGCTTCCCACTGCCTCCTCAAATCCCTTCTATTTTAAATATGCTACAGCAAGACACTAAAATGTTGTCAGTACTCACGTTGTAGTGAGCCAGAGTGTTGATGCGTTTCCATCTGCCCTCTTTCTGGGAAGTCAAGTCCAGATCCGACAAAATCTGCCCCGTTGAGCCCGGGCGCCACTCTGTGATGAAGGCGAGGGGAGAAAGTCAATCAAATCTCTCTGCAACTGTACGTGGAGATGTACTTCTGTATTTGTTCTTTCTTTCGATACGGTTTTCATTTATTTCATTATGGGTCATTGTGACCCTCAGGTTCTCCTCAAATCACGTGGTCTGAAATAATTCCGCTTTTCCATCCCACTGCCTGCACAGCCTTCTATCTCTCCTGAGATATAGTGGCACACTTGAGTAAAGTCTGGCTGAAGAACTGACAGATCAGTATTGTCTGAATAATTTACATCTCATTCTAAACTTTGAATTGCACCCCAACATTTTCAATTTCAAAAATAATCTGTCACCACTGCAGACCCGAGCTCCATCTTTAACATACGATTCATTTACATCTTTCCCATTCACCATGAAAGAAGACTGATCTCTGCTTATCTAAAATGTATAAAGAAATGAGATCTACACCCTGCGTGGGAATAAAGAAATGGCTTTGAAGTTGGAAAATGTCTATAGAGCTTTTGCCTTTCAAGTGAGTCCCCAAGGTTCCTCACTACAGTAGTGAAAGAAAAAAAAAAAACCTTGTTTAGGGATGAAGGCTATCTTCATGTTGCTGACACTGAATAACTTCTCATCCTGGCTGATGCCTTTTTTATTCCACATAGAGACAGAAAGAGAGCTAATCTTCAAACCAATATATCAAATGGAGCTGGAATAAAATAAATAACCAATTATCTATTTAGACAAATGCATTCAGAATTAATTAAAGAGGCATTTGAGTGAGGACTGAAATAGCTTCTCTATTTTGATGCCCTCTCCCTGCCTGAAACGCTTAAATTATTCATCAATATTAGACATTTACCGCTTCAGCTCGTCCTCCTCTCGTGTGCCCTCATTTACTCACCCAGCGTGACACCGTCGACCTTTGGCCGCTGGGAGTACGGCAGGTTCCTGTACACCTGCTCAATTATCTTCTCTTTCACCTGCGAGATGGTGTCGCAGCTCAGCACCTTGACGGGCGTCACATCCGGACCCTCGCCGTGCACCAGCACTTGCAGAGTCTGGCAAACACACACACAGTAAACACTGATGTAAGAATTTAGCATTGTGCACGTACACATGCCCTTATGCACACAAACGACAAACAGAAATTAGAAAATGGCCGGAGCACCCAGCCACCCTCCCACACAAAGTTGGGATGTTGTCGTCATGGCAGCCAGGTCTCTGCAAGCGCGCACACGCACACACACACACACACACACACACACACACACACACACACACACACACACTCTGTGTGTTGACACCTGAAAGGACTCCTGTCACCTTTGCCAGCTAATGGCCGAGGCTCAGTAGGTGCAAACTGACCCACCTCGCCTCCCACATTCTGTCAGAAATAACTAACTGACCGCCCTGCAGACTGAAACATGGGGCAGCCGACACACAAGCAATATCAACCTTGTAAACCTGAGAGTAGAAAGAGTCAAATGAGAAGAGTAAAGCTGGGAATTAAAGCCAAAAGGAAACACTGTCTGCCTATAAAATCTATCCCCAGGGGGGTTTTTCCTCCTTCTATAATTCAATCACAGAAGGCGATCCATCACGCCAGGAGACGTGTAATTCAGGCTAATTTGGTAATCGTCCTCGACAACGCCATTACCCATGGGTCTTTTTATTAATGCTGACTTCAACAGAAAACAGCTGTGTTCACATTAGCTTCCATTACTGAAACACAATACCGAAGAAAGACACATAGCGTTCCTTAATACCGCAAACTACCCGAATAAACACGGAGCAGGTGCAGGCTGGGGGGTCGCGGAGAGGCTGCTTGCTACACTTGCACGACAAACTAGTATTAATAGTTTAACCCAAGCTGTGCATTTCCCTTCAATACTGGAATGTGTTGCTGGTGTCACTTCCAGGAGAGAACATTGACACAGAAAATGGATGCTGCACAAAAGCGGGAAGTCACCCGGGGGGGGGGGGGGGGGGGGGGGGGAGTTGCTGGTTACTGTGGCAACTGCACTGTGTGTGTGTGTGTGTGTGTGTGTGTGTCTGTGTTTGCGCACATAAGTGCACATGGCTGTGTAGCTCAGAAGGCACAAAACCGCATGCAATCTCAAAGCAGCGTGTGCAGTTTGTCAGGGTGTGCGAGTCCGTCCATCTCACCAGGACGGAGTACTCGACATCGTCGCCCAACAGGCCCGTGTCGTTGAGGGTGTACTTGGCTTTCTTCACTCTGGCGTCCACGGGCCCTTTCTCGATCTGGTGCTTGATGGCTCGGAACAGTTTGTACAAGGGTTCTCCTGCAGAGTCCTAATACAGAGTCACACACACACACAAAGCCCATTAGGTGTTTTAGATCATGGAGCTAATTGTTGATTAGCAGTCTAGAAGAAAGATCAATGCACAATATCAACATAGAGCACTAATGAAAGTAATGGAATAACCCATGCACTTCTCCCACTGTTCAATGCTGTAGCATCTTGCTATGAACATTTCCTGGATAACCAGAGTATTTGAACAGAATACATACAATACTTTAGCGACCATGAACTCGTTACCTTTAAAAACTGGTAAAGGCAGATAGACATCCAGTTGCATAGCATCCTTTCCACCACCGTCTCCGACCTGGAAAAAAAAACACTTCAGCTGAGAAACGCTGGGAAATACTCATTGCGTGTCCATAGCGGGTGTCATGAAGTCCCTGATTTATGTGGGTTTTTAACATTGTCTTCAATATTTTGAACCTTTTTTTGAAAGTTTATTGTGTTTCATGTTCAAGTGTGTAACCAAGAAAAAGTTGAAAGGAAAAACTTATTTTATATTCATTTTATTGTCCTGAAAAAAAATGCTACTTTCTTAATAACGTGCATTTGGGGACATTCCTGCAAAGGGTGCTAGTATGAAGTTATTTTAATTAAAAAATCAGCCAGTGGTCATTTGACAGATTTGCAATGCTAATGTCACATGGTTAGCTGCGAGCATGCCTGGTTCGATGTCTTGTATATAGAGGAGGCTTGTGTTGGCACAATGGCCTAATCAGCATAATGAGCCTCTCCATTGGGGGATAATTAGGATTGTGTACTTGCACAACAGCTAGTCACAGCGTGCCGAGCCACAACAGACTGCTCAAATCACACAATCCCCCCGCCCCCCCAGCACGGATGAGCAACTAAGTTCAGACACGTTGGTCCTGCCGAGGGAGAAGATTTGACCTTGACATGATCATTACAGTTGTGGAAAGGGTGAAGAACAAAGAACGCTATAATTGGAGATTATTTTCTGAGGGCTGTTTACTTCAATCAAATAATTTAGTTAGATGTTCAAGGAATTCTAATTCTATAAAATGCATTAGGAGATTTTAACAGAGCAATTAGTATTGCGTAATATCAGTGAAAAACAACTGCCGTAAACGCTGTAATAAATGGTGCTATGTCTTGCCAAACACAACAGGGTTTTTTTTAAAGAATATATAGACTCGTGCATTGCTATTTTTGGAAGATAACAATTGATCTGTCAAATATTCAATTATAAATCAGGTCAGATTACATGTTTGGTACACTTCAGTTGATGAGTTTGTTCTGACCCACAATGACAGATGGAGCTTTTTCATACAAGAAAACAGGGTGACTAACTTTTTAAGGGATATAATATCCATAGGAAAATCCACCTGGTGCAAGATTAAGCCATAAAGCATATTGCAGAAAGCCAATATAATTGGATTTATGCATTCAAGGCAAAAAACCTGTATGGACTGAAAGCCATTTCTAGGCTAGTCCCCCAATTGGTCAAGAGCTACAGGTTAAGAAGATTTAGAGGACAAAGGGGAACAACCAAAGAGGAATCACACAGCACTCGAGCTTGGAGGAAAGAAACACAAATGGAGAAACAGAAGGAGGAGGACTGGAACAGATCAAGCAACAGTCTGCCTCTTCGTAGTGGACAACTGTAGTCAGAGCAAAATCCAACAGACAACATGGGAACAGAATGAAACAGTCCACAGCCTCTTGAAGTGAATCCCAGACCTCCTGTGACGGTTAATTTGACCGCTGCCAGGGTGGTGATATGTAGTGATTCTGATTACACAGCACAGAAATAAGGACATTAATCATATCATGGCAAAGGTTGCCAAAAAAAGTCAGCAGCACTGCTAGCTGCATACAGCAAACATTCGGATATTCAGCAGTATCCCGATGACAGACATCGTGGTTTCATGCTAAAGATTTGCAAAACAAAGCATGAAACAAAGTAGAAGCAGAGGTGGATAATTGGTCCTTCACAAAAACAAGGAAAATAAAGTTATTATAATTGATCCTACGGGTGAAATATTACTGACAATCCACACAAGCGCCGACAACATATTTTACACAGAACTAAAAATGCTAACCTCGTGGTGACGGGAGTTACTAACGCAATTCTGTTTGTACTTTAGGAGCCATTCATTTAGAGTTGGTGGACCTGCAGCAGCACAAAACACATTGAATATTTCACTTGGCGCTGGCGTTTTGCCGTTGTATCTCCTCACTCACCTGCGCAACATGAGTTTAGGGTTCTTGCTGAGGACGTATTCCCCCATCAGCTCCAGCAGCAGCGTCCTCATGATGTCGGTGTAGTATTCCAGTTTGCCGTGCAGAGCCACCGTCAGCAGGGATGCGAAGTACACCTTTGCCCTGGCGTTGAAGTCATTACTGCGCTCCAGGGTACGGATAAACTACAAGCACAACAAAACACCAAATCCTTGAGATACGGTTCCCTGGGTTGACACTAAAAGCTGACACGTATTTCTTCTGTATTCACACCATTGTGCGGTCTAATTACATTAAGGAGGAAGGTCTTTGAGTTCAGGAGGTTGGAGAACTGGTTGAGAGCCTGAGTCACTACGGCCCGTCGGGCCTCTGGGATGTTGAGCTTTCCTGTGATCATCACGTCGTTGGCGCCGTCCTTGGAGGGCAGGAAGAAGACGCGGTCGGTGTAGGTTTTGTAGTCCAGGAAGGGGATCCGTCCCTCGCTCAGTTCGTTGGTGTGGTCCTCCATCTCGATCATCAGGTCTGCGGGATAAAACCGGAAAATGGTGCCCAGTTCCTTTTTAACAAGCAGCTTTCCTCATTTGCGGGCCGCTCGTCTGTCTCAATCATTATGTTGCGAGAGGCAGCAAAGTGAGAGCTTTGCCAGGGAAATAAATTCAGCTGTGAAAGATTGTTTTCTATTACCGTCGCTGCAAAACCGCTCCTCATAATGATGATAACATGATGTTAAGCGGGATAATTTCTTTCATTCACTGCAGCACAATACATCAAATAAATGTAATCAGAGCTATGAAGCACTTCATTACTTCATAGCTTCTTAGAAGCACGGATCCTTTGAGGGACATTAGCGGTATTGCTGAGGTTTTACGCAGCCGCACTGTTGGTACCTGTGAATTCTTTCTTGCAGCGGTCACGTACGCTCTCCTCCAGATTCTCAAGCTGGTGTTTCACCTTCTCGTACTCTCTCTCTGCCTGCTGACTCTTTCTCCTGAACACGTTAAACAAACAGAAAACATGTGTTGTAAAAGAAAACGTGGAAGGCTTTAAACCGGAATCATTTTAGAGATTAAAGAGATTTAATTGTTGTTAAGTTTCTGGCCCGAGTCAGCACAGTTGCCTGATAACTCAGTCTCCCAAAAAATTGATTTTTAGTGCTGGTATTACGGATTTTTTAATAAATATTTAGCAGAAAATAACAATATTGTGCGTTTTGTAATGGTTTTTTGTCAAACAACGCACACAAAAAACCTAAACTTAGGCCTAAACTAATACAATTCAGATAATATACCTACGATCTAAGAAGTAGGTAAATGGTGAGATACTAAATGCGAATCCTAAAATTACCTGTAGCAGTAGACAGAGATCGCAATGATGAGCAGCATGGGCACAATGACAGCAGGGATGATGATGTAGAGTGGCAACTCATTCTTCTTCTCGTATTGCACCGAGCCCACCACCCACTCCCCGTTCCCAAACTTGATCTGTGGATAAACACACGGTGAGTGTGAGGGAATCGTATCATCAGCACATGCTCTTGACATTTTAGCCAGAAATATATTCAGGTAGGTGTTGATGGTGGAGAGATGGAGAAGCTGGCACGGAGGAGGGTCTACTCTATTTCTTGGACTTCTGCAAAATGAACTCCAAAACCTTTCTGTATTTCTAAAGTAGTGGGGCTACTTGGTGGGCTCAAATTGACTAAATGCGCTTGCATGGAGTTTGGCACTTTATAATCAATCTTGTCCGATGTAGGTATTCTGCACCTTTTGATAGTCCGCTGGTGTCACTTCTTCATGCTGCACACATCCACAGAAATTCAACAATAGCTCAGTACCCAGAGGAGAGGTTACGGTTTTCATCACAATTGTGGCTCGGCTATAATTAAATCTAATTATGAAGAGCCTGTAGCAACATGAAAAACTGTTCAACAAGTAAAAAAGAAAAATGGGGTCCCTGGACGAACAGAGGACACGCCTAGAGAAGTACAGTAAAGATTCATGATGCACGCAGGCTCCTACCAGCAATTCTGTGTACATTTACTCAAGCAGTACATTTAAACTCAACATTGACGTACCAGCATCTGAGTACTTCTTTTATGCCACTGTAATCTATTTTATTACATTTCTCCATCCATCATCAAACCGCTTATCCTGCACACAGGGTCGCTGGAGTCCATCCCAGCCAACTTACATTTCTCTTCATTGAAATAATATGTTGATAAAACATCATTTGTAAGTTTTCTAGGTTCTAAAATGAAAATAGTTCAAACAGCACGTTGCGTCTTTCATTTATCTGACCGTTAAATCCAGCAGTTCGGGCCGCGTGTCTCTGCGATGCCGCCGGGAGCGAGCGCTGGGCATCGTGGAAGGCGGGTCCAGAAACAACTTGTCGTCCTGAAGTGTGTTGACCAGACAGGGAACGTCGCCCACAAACGCTTGAGCCTCTTTGGCCGTCATGGCTTTGGAGAATCCCCGACCCTGCAGGCAAAGACCAACCGTGAGGCTAATGGTGTCTTGACAAAACTAAAGGGAAGGGAAATTAATTAGCGCATTTATACACCATCAAGTAGACCCATCATATGATGAGCTATAAAACCATTTTATTAGTAATGGATGGAATGTTAATAACAGCTCCTCAACATTCTATTATGTGTGCCAAAAGTAATTAGAAAGATTAGATTCCTTGTAAGCACACTTCTAAGTTGTTCTTAGTTAAGACACTGTAGGCACCGCTCCAGTCATTCCCAGAGATCTGGCATTGCAATATTCACTAAGTTTCTGCAGGACACTTTTGTATCTAAAAACATGCTTCAATTGTTCTAATGCAGTCTGCAACATAAGAAAGGTTAAATGAGCTAAAGTATACCAGCGTCTGAGCAATTGAAAAGGCCATTTAATTTAATTTATTGCAGTACTTACAGTGTCTGCACAAAGCACTCACCCTGGACTGGAGTTGTGATAAACAATTTTCTATATTTTTTTATAGAGATTTAATGCCTAAAGCAATATACAACTTGATGCATCAAAAAGTAGCTTGTAAAAATGATATGAACCATAAACCTTTCCCTGCTCTCCTTGTTGGGCTTCTTTTAGCAATTGTCCATTGTGCCGTCCTAAAACAGTCGATACGGTCAATCAGCTGATCAAAAAGTTACTATATAAATGGTCTCAAAGGTTTGGTCCAATATTGCAAACAAAACATCCTGAACCATTATAACTTAATTCGATATATATATTTTAATCTACACCTAAAAGGGAAACTTAAATGGAGCCCCCACTGCTGGTAAAACGGATGACAATAGAAAGACTGTTGAAAAACGTTTAACGTTTAAGCTTTAACCTTTAAGGCTTTCAATCAATTTGGCCTATGACAACTTCAAATAAAGTTGTAATCCATCATTATTGCATTGAAACGAAATTCCTTTGGTGTGATTCATTTCCTGTGGGATTTACCTAATAACCTACAAACAGTTTCAGATTAAAAAATGATTTTTCATTATTATTTATATCATTTAAAAGGAGGATTACAATAAATAAGTGTAAAAGTATTAAATTGTACTTGTAACGCCATCTATAGCAAATTGTAAATTGGCTTATTTGAGGAAATTGCACTGAGTTTGTACCCTTATGGTTGAATGCACTTATTGTAAGTCGCTTTGGATAAAAGCGTCAGCTAAATGACATGTGATGTAAATGTAATGTAATCTTAATTCCTTCACACAGAGAGGCATATTGTTCAGAAACCCTGTGCTACAACTGAAGCATTAAAAAGGGCCGCGAGCCGCCTGCACTCACAGTGACGATGATGATGCTGGTCTCCGTGATGACCTTCTTGGTCAGCTCGTGGAAGCTGGGGTCAGGGTGGTACTCGAACGGGCTCAGTTGCTTCTCCAAGTTGTCGAGCTGGATGAAGGTTTTAAAGGGCTGGTTCAGGGAGCGGTTTACTCGTGGAGAGCGAAACTGGATGACCGTGTCGTTCTTCTCGTGGGCCTCCTGAATGTATCAGAGAGGGCGAGTAAAACAGAGCTGGACATTTACAACAAGGTAGAGATTTCTGGTCTCACGTAAGACATTACAGTGTTCAACATAGAAAATATGGTGAAACAGTGGGTGTTTTACAACGAGCCGAGGAATTGATGCTTTTGTTAAGTGAGGGAAAAGAGGGAAGTCTGGAAATTAAAAGTATGTGTCTCTTTTCAGTCATTTGACTAAAACCTTCATCTGCTGTCGTAGAATAGCAGCCTCTGATGAATCACAACTCAGTCATTCCTCCTCTGGCTTTGTTCATTAACTGGACCGATATTTCTGTCACTTTCTTTTGAAGCGGGGCTGACAATACTCTGTGTGACAGCCTGCCCCCTAAGTTTTTCAAAAGGAGAAGGCAAAATGAGGGGGCTGCATTGGAAAATGGAAAAGTCACGCAGACAGACTAAAAGATTTGAGACTAGTTAAATGGGTTAAATTATTTTTCCTCATTAAGCTCAAAAGTTAATTTGTGTGAATGATTTACAGGGTTTACTGGAATATAACATTGACAAAGTATTCAGTCTTTTCACTAAACATAATACACGGCTCCTTTAAACTGTTGACTCACAGTAGTTATGTGAACTGGCCTTCTCTGCTGATCATTACAGGCGCTGATATAAAAATGAATGGTTCAACATTTTGGGAAATGGATGGTTAAGTACGTATCTACAGCCAGCAGCCACCGAGATAAAACTAATATAAACCAATATACCGAAAAAAAAAGCACTGAATAATTTACAGTTATGGGCGGCTGATGTGGTGTCACCCATTTGTTTTAGTGATATTTAATTCTACAATTAGCATTAATGTATCCTTTAACCAGGGAAAGTCTGAAGCTAAGAGCAGCTGTTGTAAACGGCTGTAAAAGTCTCTGTTTACAATTACAAGCAGGAGTTGCAGTCTTACCGCCAAAGAAAACCTCACTTCTTTGAGCCGCTGACCTGATTCACAATGTAATCAACATGTTTTCACCACGAGCCGGCAGCCAAAAATATTTGGGTCTAGTTCAGTGGATGGACTTAAACCAACAGAGGCTTATGAAGTTGACCAGCCAAGGCCTTTGAGATAACACTTTACATTCACTGCTAGTTTGTGGCAGCCAGGAGTCTTTTCAAATCTCTCCGGTCCCCTGGGTCGCAGAGGACCAGGGCACAAATCTTTAATCCTAGTATTGAATTTAGCATAAAATTGCTGCTGCTTAACACTGCGCAGTAAACTGGAGTGCAGGCAGCGGCACGCTGTGTACAACTCAGTCGAGGTCAAACCACTTGATTAAGCTGGACGAGGAACATAGTCGTGTCTTGGGTTAGGGTGAAACGGTTGTGCTGCTATCTGCAATCTTACAGGTTTTAAGGATTTCTATGAGAGATTAGAGTTGGGGTAGTACTGGCTTAAGGACTCTGCTCAGTGGAAGCATGGACGAGTGCAAATGGGTTTCTGTTGGTTATGTGTTTGCAGAATTTGAATAAATCACCAGCGAGGTTGTGGTGATGGTCATGCGTTGTGTGGAAATCGATGAGAGAGAGGTGGGGATGGGGGGGGGGGGGGCGGCACATGAAAAATACATTTTGTGAGATAAATAATCAGCAAAGAAAGCCAAAACAGAAGTGGAAGACATACCTCAAAGGCTATTGAATTGTCTGCTTGGACCTTGAGGAATGCAGTCTGGATTAGGTCGAAGCCGGAGCCAGTCACCACAATGTTCCTCCCTCCACTAAAAACACACACACATAGCAGTACAAAACACAGGAAAACATATTAATGAGATCTAAAAAGCAGCAATGACCAAGCTCATGGAGAAAGTTACAGGAAGACAGACACACTTTGTAAATAGCACCTGGTGTCATTTTTCACCACAGATGAAAACAAATTAGTTTAGCCTGCCAGCATCTTCTGTTGTTCCAGGGTGCGTGCCTAATCACACGCATTTAAAGGAGAATTATTTTCATCTAATCATTCAATCTAATTTTCCTCGCCACATTTGTATCAGTAAGAATGACATCAATAAGGACGAGGAGAACTAGCCTCCTACAGCGTTCCAAACAAAGCAGTCTGCTATACAGCAAAACCTGAAATTACACATGCTGAATACCATCAAACCCATTCGTTCAACTCAATACGTTTCCAGGTAAAGTGAAATATCAATATTACAAGGTAAACCCTAGTGTAGTGCTACTTTATACTGACCAGACAAAGCTTGCTTTGGGTAGGTGGTCGAGCACGACGGGGTTGTCCAGAAAGAGGAAGGCCCTTGGGATGCTTGTTATGGTCTCCTTTCCGTACTTCACGGTCACGGTGAGAGGGTCAGAGGGCACCTTATCTGATCGGTATTCTCCCGTCCTGCAGGTGATCTCTTGTCCGAAGCTCAACCTGCAAAGAAAAAGGACATAACACTAACTGGCTGCAGAAGTGGGGGTCGCACAAGGTCACTCGTCTCCTCCTTTAAGGTCGAAGCCGCCGTGGCAGCAGTCTGACAGCTTGTTAAATCCTGGCTTTGCTGCTCCTCTAACTTGTTATTTTTCTGTTACCGATGCCTAAAATGACACCATGGACTTGGTTTGACAGAACACTGTTGGTCACAACAGGGAAAGCCAGTGGTAGAAGAAAAGAAAACCCTGCGTATGACAGCAAAGTTACATTCAATTCCATTTTTCTTTCAGAAATGTAAAAATAATCATCAATTTAAAGGCTTCAAACTGTCCATACTGTAGAATTTGCATAGAATACAATGTCTGAATAACAAGTAGCACAATTCAATTTACGAGACTGAAAGAGAATTGGGCTTTGGCATGAATGACAATTATTGAGGAAAAGAAGCCCTTACACAGTGCAGGCCAGCCCTTCCATAGTAACCGTGACATCGTCCATACTGCCAGTCTCCAGAAATTGCCCGGAAATAGTAATGAGGGTGCCCCCAACTTTTGGACCTCTAAAGGGTCTCACCGTCTTTGGAATCGGGTCCTGATGAGGGTGGAGACAAGATACGAGGTCGCAAGACACAGGGTGAATACATACTTTCTCCTGCGAGGATCTACATGCACACGCAAGCGCCAACACACAGGCTCACGCACAGACACACAGACACTGCTTCTTTATGAAGTGATACATTTCCTCTCAACCTCCAGCTCTGTTAGAAACATTCTCTCTCACACACACACACACACACACACACACACACGCACAATCCTACAAGCATCACATCTGCCTCAATTTGCTGAGCAAACAGTTAGGAGGAGCACTCCCCTGTGGGGTAGCTTTAGCAGAGCCAAAGATATGAAAAGCCAGTTTAATACTTTAACAGCTATTTCAGAGAGGGGGGGGGGGGGGTACTGCACGGCATCTAGTTAAAATAGACAGAGCATTAATATTATAATGTGACAGCATCTATGCAGTGCATTTACCGCGACATTAGGATGTACATCTTGCATGAAAAACATGCCCTTGGTATGTTCTGCTAAGGAGCTCTCATCAGTTAGGAATTGGAAACATAATAGTACATATGGAAAGTGCAGCAGAGGAGAGTGAGTGAGTGTGAGTAGTAACAGTAGTGAGTATTTACCCTGTAAGTGAAGTACACGGATGAGGTTCCTCTCTTTCCTCCCTTCACCTCCACCTCCACCGTGCCATTTCTATTATTTTCAGGGCCAACCGGGCCGATCTCACACACCACACTGGAAAGTACAACGGAAGAAAATACTTAAGAGTAGGGCTGCAAGTGACAATCACCACAATACACGTTGCTGTTTTTGTATATTGACTAAGCAATTAACGGATTCATTATTAACTCCATGTCAGACATTCCAGATCAATGTTCCCCCTCAACAGCCTTGATAACGCATTTGTGGAAATTCAGCATTTCTGAACAAAAACACTTGTCTACTAACAGCAGCTCTATTGAAAACAAACCGATAGCCCCATGCAATCTTTGTCCAAAACCCACCATCCAAATCCGCTCCTGAATATTGTCGAAATTGGCAGACAAATGAGAACTGTCTTGTTTTTGTAAATTGGAGTAAGTAAATAAATAAATAAGGTAATTGAAAAGAAAAGTCAAAGAAAATACAAACACGTTCAACAGCAGATATGAATGCAGTATGATTTTGTTGCCAGATTGGCTGCTTCTAGCATGGTAGGAATTGCTTCCTTTGAGAATTCTAGAAAAACTGTCAGGGAAAAGTGTGATAAACCAAACACGTCCTGGAGGAATATACGTGTTGCTGATGAAACCGGTCAGCGTAAAACGGCAAGCATGATTCGACAATTAACAGCTACGACAGCCACGTGTGAAGGAATTAAATATTGTTTTGGAAAACTTGTCAAATCATAAAGCAAAGGAAGCTCCGACATGCTGCAGACCATAGAGGACAACTGACGGCAAGATGGACTCTAAAGCTCCAGAAGTGGATGATTTAAGAGTGAAAAACATTCCATCTGGTCACATAAATCCTGGTTTATGCCTCATCGTGCAGATGGCGGGGCAAGTATTTGTCATAAAACGGGATCCCTCCTGCCAGGTGTCGACAGTTGAAGTTAGTGGCTGCTGGGCGACAATGTGGATGTTTTCTTTTTAATGTACCGTTCGTAGGAGATAAACGCCGTTGGGACTGAAATTAATTTGAGGGACTTTAAGTTTGACCAAATGTTCTTACAGAGCTTCCACAGCATGAAGAGGACACCAAAAGGCTGTGGCAAATGTGTGATGCTACCAAAACAGAGCTTCGCTGAATTCATAGCTCAAAACATGCTTTCCTCACTTCTGCCCTCGGACAGTATTTATAGACTGACATTCAGCAGAATACCACAAAACTTTGAGGTACTTTCCGGTGCTTTATACTATTGCAATTCATTTGAGAGGAAAAGGTAGTATTGTATTGTCTGACAGTTAGATACAAATATAAAGAGCAACATACTGGCAGGGCGAGCTAATCGAAACATGCCCCTGGTTATCCTCCGCGTGTGCTGTGGCTGCTGCTCATTCATTTGCATAAATACGTCAAAGTGAGTATTACCTGGTGGAAACTGAGTACTTCTCCTTCTGATGGATACATGGCTGCCCAACCACGCTGATGCTTTTAATGTCTTCCTTGTAGATGCCGAGGTTGGAGCCGCGGATGGTGATGGAGATCCCTCCCCGCAGGGGACCGAATCGAGGGATGATCTGGAAGGGGAGATACAGTGGTGGGGGGTAGGGTGCGTTTTTTTTTTTTTAAGAAGAAGGGATTTGAAATGGGTTTAAACAGATTAGTTGAGCAATAAGAATGTACAAGATATTTACGCAGTCTGTTTAAGTACGCTGAATGGTTTGAGTACTTAATATTCTAGACGAGATTGAGAATTACATCCACTGTACGAGCAGAGTTTGCATAGATATGAATGCATTAGAGCACGACTGTCAAATATTTTTGGTATACAGATATTTTACAGCTAAACAATACTATCAAAAATGTTTAATAATGATATAACAGCATATAACAGTTGAAACTGAATATTATTCAATTACACCATTTTTGTGTAGCATGTTAGCATGCATTCATTTGCTAATAAGCATCAAACACAAAGAACAGCTAAGGCTGGTAACAGGTTGGCAGGTATTTGGTCATAAACTGAAGTATTGAAATTACAGCGTGACCTGACAGTGGTGCTGAGGAAGAAAAATAATCAAGCAATTCCAATTTATTTTGAGGGGGACATGAATGTGTGTAAAGAATTTTCATTAAAAAAAACCCCATTGGATTCATGCATGGGGGAGAAGGAATGTCAGGGCAATCCACAGTTGAGATATTTCAGACTGGACCAACATTGTGGTGCAACCGACATAACCAATAAAAACTTCCAGCCAAAAGACACACGCTGTGATAACTTTGTATCAGTCGGGCTGTTGTGTACGTGTGGTCATAACCTCTGTCTCGTTGCCATCAACGATTTTTGTCAATGACAATATGACACCAACAATTAAATGAGCAAAGAAAGAATTGATCCAATCACGATGTGCTGCAGATCAGCTCAACATTCCCTCAAGGAGGCACATCTCCTCTGTCGGGAGAAAGCGGAGAGACCAATTAAGTGGTCCAATCAATAATCCAATCACCAAAGTCGCTGCCTTCCCTCACGGCCTTTTAAGCACGTACTGTCGCCAGTTCAGAAGGTCGACGTAAAGAGACGACGGCAGGGTAACTACTCACGTCGGTGATCTGAGGGTCGGGGCACTGCGCGCTGTGAGGATCCGCGGCCCCTTGCTGGTCCGGATTGCACAGCTTCTCGTACACACACGCCCTCTGTTTGGCACACCACACACACCTGTACTTTGGGTCTGCGTTCTTGCAGAGACTGCAGTCTTCCCTGCCCACGGAGCAATTGTAAAGGGTGACTGTAGGGGAAGTAGGGAGGGAGGAAACCAATTAGCACATTTTGTGTTATGCCATATTCTTATACTCAAGAGGTCTCACCTTTCATGAATAAGTAGCAGGATGTTTACATTTGCGTCAAACATTTACGTTTAACGACGAGCTAACAGTACAGTCATTTGCAACCGAATCCTTCCTATTCTGTCAAAACGTGTTTGGTGATAGAGTCATTACCAAATACTCTAAGTTTTCAATTAAGGATCATGGCAGTTCTTCAGATCTAAGACACTGGGGCTAGCAGTGTACACCCACAGCATTAAATACACTCTAAGCGCTCCGCGCTGAACGTGTGATGTGTGCGTAAATGAGTGTACCGTTGAGTGTGCTGTCCATCTTCTTCCCCGACTCTTTGTGCTTCACGTAGAAGAGAACGTTGGTGTCTGGTGACTTGTCGTAAGAAAACTAAGAAATTGGAAAGAAAATAAATTATTAATATAGAATCCAGTGATTAATGGCACTTAAGCTCTTTGCGGCAAACAGTGTGGGCTGCCGCTTCATCATGCCAGGGGAAGAAAAGAAAAGAGGGGAGAAAAAAAAAGTGACACCCCGCCTGGCAGATTTTCAGCTTAAGAAATCAATGTTGGGAAAGAACATAGCTGGGAGCGAGCTTCTGCCTCAGACTCCAAGTGGCAGAATTCACAATGTGAGTCTGTCCATTAGAGGGAGCTAGAGAATATCAAAGGGACTCCTAAACGGTGCCTTGATTTATAACCCTGAAAAAACAAGTCAGTTCATAAGACAATTGGATCCAAGCTGTTTCACTACTGTAAACTTTAAACGTGAAGTTGAGGACGAATAAATGTCAGCAGAAGATTGTGAATACAGAGATACAGTTGAAGTTCTACTCACATTGAAGCCGCTGAAGGTGTAGAAGTGCCCGTTCTCAAACTTGACCTCCTCTTCCGTGTTTCTCATTAGTTCGGTACCGATTATGAAAACATGACCCTGGAGAGCAAAAAACAAAGCAATAAACGGAAAAGTCCACGTGGTACTGTAGACTCTCCCAGCCTGTGGCTGACATGACTTAACCAACTGCTTTCTGGCTGCCAGCGTTTGTTCCACGGCATTATTATTCGTTAATAAAAAAAAATATTGACCTCACGCACTGGTTAAAAATGTTGATCTAGTCTGGCTCATGGCAGGCCTAATGCCATGCTGAATAAATGTTTAAAAAACCATGTCTCTTTACCTGGTAGACGTCCAAATTGATCCCCTCGAAGCTGATACGAGTCTTGTAGCCCACGGGGATCAACACAGGATCTGGGTTCTCAAAGTGAGGACACTTTGCTCCCTGAGAAGGCATCAAAACAAAAATCAAGATACTCTCACTTTCAATCATTTACATTTTAAATTTGCAAATCACTTAACGGACACCCTCCTCTGCGATTAAAGATACGTTTATCGCTGAAACATCTGCTAAGTTGTAAATTCATATCCGCCACCCTACAGTACTTGTCATGCAAGATGGGCCCAGCTGATACCGGAATTTGATTTTTTTTCATTAATTTTCAGGGGAGATTTGGGCCGCTCATGCGTCCCCTCCGTGTGGTGATTAAATGTGTCCTTTAAAACTTTCGCGAGACTTTTTCCACACATGCTGTCAGAGACGCACGTCCTCAAGATGCCACTGACTCACCTGACGGTGTTTGATAATGTTGGGCCCCACCGCGCCTTCGTCCATGTCGCTGCAGGTGTAGTCTTGTGTGTTCCACTGGCAGCCCCACGAACTGGCCACACATGACATGCACCTGAGGACACACAGAAACCAAAGATGAGAAAAATGCTTTCAAAGGCATTTCATTTGGCAGTCATGCACACACACACACACAAACAAAATCTTAAAAACATGCAAACTCATCAAAGAGCGTTCAGGCAAAGAAAATCCATGTTGCTGACAAGGAAATGGATCTCTGCTACTTCACATAAGCAAAGCTCGTTCATCACACATTCCTTGGCATGAAAGAAATTAGGAAAAAAATAAGGAAGGGGGAAAAAAATGGCAGGATCGACTCTCATTTTTTGATTAATGAAAAGGAAACGGAGGCAATTTCCTCAGCTTGTTAATAAAAGGAGGATATAAAATGCAAGAGGTGCATTCAACATTACCATGCATCACAATTTACAAAACACAGCCTTGATCTCTCATCTGTTCACGCACGGGGATACATTTACATCAAGGTTGTCAGGTGATGCTGTGTTCACTGTCACTGTGTATTTTCTGTGAGCGACAGAGCAGAACTGATAGATTAAGAGTCTGACTCACGGCGTGTTTTCGGATTTCTTCACTGTGGCAGCACAGTTATAGAACTTGAAGTCCCGCGTAGCCAGCTCCACAGTCTCATTGACGAAGACCCGGATGGCCACGGCCACAAAGTCTGAGGACACGGCGAACGGAGGGTTAAAAGATTTACGTTGTGGTATTGGAGTTTCACGCGTTTTTAAAATGTGATTTGTGTCATCTGGAATAATTCTTAAAATGTAACACTTCCACTGTTCATGACAACACAAAAAAACGGCCTCAACTTCCTTCCTTCATTATGTATTAATGCATTCCTCCAACCACACGTGGAGACAACAGCCTTGCTAGTGGCTGATGTAAAGCCGTTCTTATGGAGTATTATTATAAAGGAGTATTTTGAGCTAAATGTTCCTGTCGCCCTGCTTAAATGCACGCAATAATAGTGCTAACGCGCTGATGTTTAGCAGTTAATGTTCTTTATTTTCAAAGTTAGCATGTTAGCATAACATCATTGGTGAATTAGAAAAACGCCTGCACGCTTGTTCCGTGCCACATGTGAATGAGTACGTTTCTCCATCAGAATGTTTGAAAGTGGAAACCATAGCCGGTATTTAACACAGTGCAACAATATCCACAATATACAATTCAATGAAGTACATAAAAGTACTTCCAAATATCACAAATAAAAAAACTTTAGAAAACAAGCCAACTTAGTTGAGTGCTGGTTGTTCGGGGCTGTAAATTCCAGCCAAGCACATTAATTAATTTAATTACTAAAATCAGCAGACGTGCTGAAAACCTGAGGCGTTTTGGGCCTCTCAGGGTCTGGGAACCCGAAGGCTGTTGGCCCGCTCTGCCCGCTGGTGAGACAACCCACGTTCTAATAGATAGCAAACATTTATAAAGGCCATACCTTGGTCCGCAGGTGTGGGTGGTATAAGTGAAGGGTTGGGTAGATCGCAGGAGACCTGACCAGAGTCAGACATGGTGCCTTCGCTCTCAAACGACTTGATGGAGCACAGCAAACGGTCAGAGAGCCCAATGGCAGGAAGGGAGGGGATGTTGATATTCACCTGGACACAAAATAATTTGGAAGTGGCTTTAAAGGAGTTCTTCACATTGTCGATCACCTTTTGGAGGAATATCACTTTAATTGATAATAATTGTGTTGCTTGATGGATGATTCTGATCTCTGTACAATCATTTCCTTTCATTGCCCGGATATTGATTGGCTCGTCGGAGAGAGAGCGTAAGGGAAGTAGCCAGGAATGGAAGAAAACAACTTAAGACAAAGTGCACAGGAGAGGCTCTCCGTCTGCAGGCTGTGAGCACAATCAACCAGGTCGGTTATAATAAGCCAGTTTTGAGTTTTCCGGACGGATCGATAGCGAGGCAGGAAGACCTAGAGCCTGGGGTCTCTGATTCACAATGGGAAGAGTTTATTTCTCGGGCTGTGCATGTTTGTGTGACGTGCATGTAAGAGGGTTCGGCACAGAACAAAGAGTGAGTGAGAGGAGAAGCGGCGCTGTACCTTTTGAGTCTTTTTAAAAGAAAGATTTGCGGGGTAGAAGGAGACAATCTTGACACACTGCTGCTTGGGGCTCCACAGCCATCCATTCTTCTCCTCCGCCCGGCGGCACTCAGACCTCCTGGTACACCTTCAGACGAATGAACGAAACAGCGAAAACAACTCCCGTCAGCCTCGGCTCCACGACCCCACGACGCTTTTATAGTGCAAGGCCTCAAAAAGCAACAGATTCTCAATGCGCTTCTGTCAACAACAACCTCATTCCCAAGGGACTTCAAGCTGTGCAGATTTCAAAGATTACACTTTGTATAGCTATGAAAAACACTAAATGCAATCATCGGTATCTGGTTTTGAAATGTCGAATAACATTTGATCCAACAATAGTATATTGCACAGGAAAAGAAACGGAATATGTAATACATCATCTTGAATGAGCAAAGAACTCTGTCATCATCACACTGACAATAACACAATAAAAATTAAATACGCACTATGAAGGGAATAGAATGAAAAAACAGATGATGTCAATAAAGTGCAGCAGGAGCACACAATATCCATAATATGACCATTACATAGCTCTCACAAAGTACAAGCAAAGAGAGGGGGGGGGGGGCTAATAAACGATCTTCATTTTCTGTTTAACTAATCATTAGATTACATTACAGGTCATTTAGCTGACGCTTTTACCCAAAGTGACTTACATTGCATTATTAACTCATGGCTTTTTACATTTCTGCCCGGTTAGGTGTCTTGCTCAGGGACACTTCGACATGGGGCAGCCGGGGCTCAAACCGGCAACCTTGCGGTTCCCGGAGGTTAGCGTTAGGCTCACCTTCTCTACTCCACGCGCCCCCGTCGACCCATTACATCGTCACATTGGAGGGCCGATGGCAGCCAGTTCCCTGGCGCTTGATTTCATTTAATTAAATGTCTTACTTTACCTGACTCACAAGCAGACATATGCTGCAGGAATAGAGGCATTGTTTCTGAATACGAACATCAACAACTCGCATGTGTTTTTCTGATATTTTCCTCTTTCCTGCTCACATCTCTCTAAAATACATGATACATAACACCCCTTTTACCCTCAAGACCCTGATAAATATAGGCCGATGAGAGTAAATTGCACCGTCTGCCTCAGCAGCATGAGGCTGACAAATAGCTTTAATTCCTCACGGCTGCACGAACAACAGGAGACAGAATATAAACACAGAGGGGTACTAAAAGTGTCTGCAATAAAACACGGAACAAATACCCTGCTGTGTTTTACAGTTTGAATTGCATGTGTGGGTGTTTGTGTTGGTCTGTTGCTGGGTGCATGCATTTTAAAGTGCCTGTGTGATCCTCACCTGCCCTCCAGGACACACCAGCCACAGTAAGGGTCCCTCAGTTCCACACATGATTGGCAGTCCTTCTTTTGGAGGCACGTCTGCACTGGCACCTTGGTGATCTGGAGCATAGCAACAAGAAATATGATCAAACAGGGCATCTTAGGGGAGGCAATATGGATCATCTGAAATAAGGCTGGAAATAATCCTCAGTTTGTTGCAGGTGTGCAGAGTGGGAGTAAAACACCTGTCAAAACACCATGACTGAGTCTCTCATCTGCTCCTGGTTCAATTACTGGAACAATCACCTCTCTGTACATGCTAAATGTTTACTGTACCCAGTGTGGGAAGGCATCGGAGTTCATTTACTTCAGCAGGATTTTAACTTTTATACACGTCTCCGAGGTGTTCAGCAATTCAAATAGACTGAAAGAAGGGAAGAAAAATGATTTCTACTCATCACAATCATCTTATAAAAAGTACTCAAGTACTCACTCATTATTGCATCTGTAATAAGTGTCCAGGATTGTACCTGCTATAGGACATACTCATAATACTTTCACTTTTTGGTATTTCTACCTTTCTGCACCACTGATGTTACACCAGTGCCCAGACAGATTATTTTGTAATATTTGGCAATATTTGGTGACCAAATGTATCACTTTGTTTCATCGGTCCAAGGGAAAAGCGCCACGCCCAATAAACGAACTAGTCAGGAATCTCCCCTCGCTGCCTCATACACACCTTCTTCTCTGTGGTAATGTAGAGGTGGCTTTGACTGAGATCAAAGAAAAGGTTCTTGTTGACCTTCTCTCCCATGGCGTCGCCAGGGGTCTTACTGTACAGGTACGCCGTATCGGCCAGGTGCACCTGGACAGAAAACAAAACCATGTCACCATCAGACAGTCTTATTGCCCTTATCCGGCTTCCCTCAGGTCAAGGGAGAGAAACATTGCATCGAGCAGAGAAAAAGCATAACTCCACCTTGAAGACCTCTCCCTGGGTGTTCCCCAAAAAAGCGATAGTGTGATCATTCTCCACGGTGACGGCCACAGCGGTCAGCATGCCTGACCAGCTCCAAACCGCATCTGCAGTCAGGGCATATCGGGGATTGCTGGCCAGAGGGGAAGGCAGAAAATCTCCTCCACACTTGAAGTTTTCCAACGTATCCTTCTATAAAACAAAAAAGGGAGGTATTGGGAACATTTCGATACAAAGAAAGAGGAAATCACATGTGTGGCAGGTGCTTTTTCAGCATCACTTATGTCAAATGTAAATATATGTTCATTCTTGGGACACCCCCTCATTACAGACGGTGGCCGGCTTCATTTAAGGTCGCGTGAAAATAGTGTTGAAGTTAAAGGTATTTCTATTAGAGACACACCTATTTGATGTATTTTTCTTTTTACAAGAAATTACATTGAATTTGTATCTACATCTTCTACAATAAGTTTGTGAAAGATACCCCAAAAAGTTTGAGATTATGTTGATTTAGCCAGAACGAGATTGTATTATTCTGCATGAGTTTAGGGAATTGGGAAAAGGGAGGGAAGATCTGTCTGACGGAACGAGAGCTTTAGAAGGAACAATACAAAAAAATAAGAGCGCTTCAGAACAAACTGAAGACTGACATTTAAGTAAACAATGACAGACACATGCATTACTGATGCATCTAAGGGGATTCTTCAAAACGTATCCCAATCACATCTGTTATTCCAAACTCCTTTCTTTAAAAACCGTAATAAGCCAACACAAAACAAGCACTTACCGGAATTGTTGATGTGCAGTCAGTTTTAGACGAGTAGGGAATGTCCACAACAGGCAACCCGTGATGCTTCCCTGAGTTGCTATAGCAGGCGCCGATGATATCCACCAGACGTTCATTGATGGAGTCGAGTGGGTACATGCAGAGAGCCGACTGGTGGACGTCGTCCTCCTGACTCGCCACCATGAAGAGAACTTTGCTCCACGGGGCGACCTTCTCCTTCGTACCCGATTCAGTCATGACCCGGGCAAGCTCTTTTCCCGGAGACGCCACATACGCAGCTTGAACTTTGTTGTATCGAGTATTTTTGCCGCACACTAACTGCAGCTCCGTGTGGGAGTAGTAGTGGTGGTCATCTTCGCAAAGACGCGACACGAAGGTGAGGTTTTTGTTGTCCGTACCATCGAGTGTCCGCGAAAAGAGGAAGTAAACAAAACCGTCCTCTTTGAAGGCGTGGCGGAAGTCGTGCAGGTACTTGGGGACAAACGGCGTCGTCTGCACCGTAGACGCTTCGATGATGCTCTCGAACACGACCCAATCCCACACGTCCTGAAGGATTCGGGTGCTGATGAGTTTGGTACTGTCCAGGCTCCCGTAGCCCTTGCCCACAAGAAACACGCCGAAGGAGTGGCCATCTCTGGAGTAGTTGGACATGACGCCCACCACGTTCACGTTATCCTCTATGCTGGCCACATAAGTCCGCTCCCCTTTGTTGTCGCTGTAGTACAGCTGCTCTTCCACATTGCTCAGGTTGAGGAGGGAGCAGATGCCACGGTAGCGGCTGCCGCAGACGATGAGCGAACCGTTGGACGGATGGACCAGCAGAAGCTTGTTGAGGTTGGGCATGGGCTTGGTGTCGTGGCAGGCAGAGGCAGGAGGCGTGCAGGTCCGGGCGTCCTCTTTGGGGCCCGTCTCGGCACGAGCCTCCCGGCGGAGGGACGGCCCCAGCTGGTAGATGGCGTTGACCGCCCCTAGGTAGATCCGACCGGTCTGCGGGTCCTGGACCACATTGTTGATGGCCGTCTCGGAGGTGAACTCCAGGATGGGGGTGGTGCTGATTTCCTCCCGGGCTTGTGAGAGTGGCTGGCAGAAGAGAAAGAGGAGGAGGGAGACCCAGCTTGCCATCTCTAGAGAGGAAAGAAAGAGTGGTTTCATTATTAATGCCGTTAAATGCACTCGTAAATGTACACAAGCCATCGAACACTGCAGTGCGGACTGGGTGTGTGGTTAATATACAGACACTTAACACACACTCAGACATGCAAAGCCATGTGGACCAGTCACATGTACCAAACACGAGGGTTTGAATCGATACTTTTGGTGAGAGTTACGTCAGAAATCAGGGTCACAAGACCTAAACGCGCTTTCACTTTGATTTAATGAATACGGTTTCCACTAACTGGCTTTTTCTTTACGGGTGTGTCGCTAAGTTCTTTAAATTAATGTTAGATTTTATTCTTTAAGCATCACAAATAAAAAGCTAAAATAGGGAAAACCGAAACCAAACTATCTACTTTCAATTTGGATATAGAGTCGTACCTACGGTTTGAAGCGAGGAACTGAATGCCTCAGCTAACAATGTGTAGTTCTGAAGGTGTGTTCGTTTGGATTTAATTGACTTAAAATCAGAAATGATCGCTGGTGAAGAAATACAACTGTTGTGTGCGAGGGTAAAGAAGGATTAAGGCAGGAAGACATCTCAAATAATAACACCATAAAAGCCAATTCAAAAACCTTGGATCTGTTCCAACCTTATTTGCCCCCCCCCCCCTGTAGACCTCACCTCTAAGCACTATGTGCTCAGGAAGTAAACTGTTTTGTCTCAGGAAACACGATCAAACATTATCCCTGTAAAATACAGACAGCGTGATGAACGGCTGACAGCAGGCGTCTGAGTCCTCGCTCTGCCGTCTGTGCAGCCGCGGTAAATGTGCCACTGCAGGTGGCTTTGACGCCCACGCAGCAAAGGTGCTTGCATGTGCTCTCCAGCTCCAATGGTATCCTCCGCCGGTCAGTCAAGTCCACGGGCGCGTCTGTCCGAACTGAAAACCCCCGATGGCGTGCCGAGGCTTTGTTTCAGGATGTTAACCTTCCTTCCTTGATCTTTCTTCTCATTTACTTACTTCGTCCTTCCTCCACCCCACAAACAATTTAGCTGCCTAAATGTTGCGAGCACTTTTAAATTCCCAGCCTTTAATATTTCACGAAAAACATGGAACACCATGTGAAGAGTTTAAGCTAAAACGTGTGTCAGTTTAAAGAGGCTCCACAATAAGTCACTTACATGTTTGAGCTTTAAGAGAAACTGCAGAGCGTTCTCACAGCCAACATCAACAAACTGAGGGAATCTGCACTGCGTTGGGAAACTGCAAAATGTTCACACAGAGTCAGAAGAAATTGCCTTAAAAATGATCATAGACAGAAATTAAATCTCTGTGAGGCAATTTCTGAGTAACAACGTTTTCTCTGTAAAAGTGAGCACTCACAAAAGCCTTACTCATTTAGGGCAGAGCTGCCTTTGGGCAATAACGTGTGTGGCATTAGAGCTAGAAAGCGGGGGGCTTTCTCCTGCCGGCAGAACTACAAAATCACAGGAATAAAATCATTTAAACCCCAATAAAGAAAACGCTTCAATGGACAGCTTTTGATGAATTACATGTGTAATTTCTGGGCTCAGTACTTCATACGTGCTCTGAGGGTGTTATTTGAGGTGTCAGTAGCACCGACCCACATTTATTCTATTCCCTCCAAAAATTACAGTTTTTATTAATTTATATATTCTTTTTTTTTTTTTTAAACCTCTCTTGTTGTCTCAATTTCATATTCAGACTACCGTCTTTGAAAAGTGCTACCTTATGAGAGATTAGAAGTATTACTTTCCGGTTTGTATTCATTTCATTCCCCAAGTCACAACCTACAAGTACGTTTTCCTTTTTGCAGCTTCAGGTAGTCTGACGCGCAACATGCTCTTCAATGTGTACTTTATTTCAGTTTGTGAAAACATCTGCCAAGAATCTATTTTTATAAGTTACACCTCTCATTATTGTGTGCATCCACACAATGTCTAATGAAACAGGTGGGTTTGTTTTTTTCCTTTTCTGTTTGTACACAAAGGGACAGTGTTTAAACATTGGCTGTGGTTGTAAATAAGGACAGCAGTTGAAGCATGACTGGCTCTCTGAATTTACCTCCATTGTGCAACATCTGCCAAAAAACGTAATATCCATATTTCTATCAATTTTCTTCAGCCATGATACACTGCACAGGGAGTCCACAAAGGTGAATTATGTCAATGAATTGTCTAGAAAAATGAAGAAATTACTTCATTTCTTTGACTTTGAATCAAACACGCTCCGACAAAGAATTTCTCAGTTTGTGATGAACAATGCAGGGACAATGTCTCGGGGCACTCATTAGGTTTCAGAAAACTCCGTTCCACTACAACCGTGACTTCAAAGAGTCCGTCTCCTACTCATGCAAATCCTATAGCCAACGCTCAATCAGAACAAAAAAAAACCCTCAGATGCTTCATTGTGGGTCAACGCAAACGAAATTCTTTACATATTTCAAAGAAGCCCGTTCTCTCCGAGGACGTCTCCTCCTGTCTCTCTATCACTTTTCACTCTTTTTCAGGGGCTAAATCCTGCACGGCGGCATTAGAGAGGCTTCAAAGAGCTGAGGAGAGGCAGACGTCTGGTGGGGGTGACACAGGTGGAACGAGGCCCATTTCTCTCTTTTCTCAACGTGTCTCTAAGCTGCTGAGCGAGAACACGGCAAGTGGGCAAAGCAACCGACACGCGGCTATTCTGAATAAATAAAAAGCTGCTAAATTTAGAGGCTGCGTGCTGCATCAGCCTGCAGCTAATGAAGCCTCCAATGGCTTGGGATAAATAATAATGAAACACATCATGTTCTAATGAAGCTGGCACATCTGAAAAATGTGGTTCTGTACAAGACAAAATACAAAAGTAAATCTGTCCGAAATTTCAGAAAGTTCAGAAATTTGAACTAATTCCTCTGCAAAATTTTCACTTTAGGAGGTACAAGAAAAATACAAATGTTTACAGAGAATTTATTAACTAAACCAATTATACTGGATCCTCCTCGTCACTGACCAAATCATGACTATTTGCTTTGTTACAGAATGTACTTTACCTCATTGAAAGCTTTCTATATGATAAACATTAATGATGCCAACTGGTGCATATAGTTAGATATTGATCGAATACCTTGAAAGAAATGTTTCACACACTCATTTTAATTTGTTTTCTCAGTTATTTGTTTTATCATCTATTATATCTTCTCAGAATACTAAAAGTTGGAGGACCAGAGACCACATCAAGTCCAGCAGCTATTTTTACAAATAAATACTACGTTCAAACCCCCACTTTGATATGTAGAATTTTAGAGATATGTCTAAGAAGAAAAACAGTATTTATTTTGTGCTGAGACATGATCGCTTAGTGAATGAGCTCGAGAGAAACGATTTCATTCTGCATAGTGATTTGGGATTTACAACTACAGCTCATTTTTCATTGTTGAAGGAAAAAAAAGACTGAAGAAAAAAACTGCTGAGGTTCTAGATGAGCAGACCGGAAAATAGCACCTGATGGTGTGTCTCTTTGTTGGCTTGGCTTGCCCAACACACACAACACACACCTTTTTATTTCATAAAAAAACGTTCCAGCCATCTCTTTCAACCTCCCTCGGCAAGTTAGGACACGTCTGGACAGGAAAAGCAGCTCGCAGCTGAGAAAAATGAAAGATAATTGAAAAATGGCAGGTGTGCCGACAAACACACGCACGTGCGCGCAGACAGACACACACGGATTGGTGGGCTCAGGGATACATGTGCATGCACCGATACGTGCAGCTTGAAGTGCTGTCAAGGTAATCCTATTCCGACCACACAGAGACACTCTTCTCTTCAAACATCCACGCTGTGTGTCTTTGACACAGGGGCACGAAAGCCCAGCACGGCAGTGCACATGCCTCTGGGCCAGCCCCCCCCACCCCCCCCTATCTAGGACAACCCCCGCCAGGAGGAAGTGTACGAGCATGCCTGAGCAAAGGAGCAAGAGATCTGGGAGGAGAGAAAACCAAAGTGTGTGTGTGTGTGTGATCGTTCGATCACAAACTGCTGACCTGACAGGTTTTGAACCAGCATGAGTGTCCTTCTCACAGATTAAAACAGATACGGAGTTGGTATAAAAAATAAAAGACACACGCCCTACCCCGAAAAACATAATAGCATATCACCCCATACTGCGATCGCTCATTTTCAGCACTTTCTTTATCGGAGAGCTTGGCTTTAACAGATGCCAGGGTCTGACATTGATGTGTGGGGGGGGGCTCTACATTGAAGCCGCTTTCAGTGTTACACGCTGATAAAAGTGAACCACTATTAAATTACTTGCATGTCCCCAGAGGCCCTCGGGCGTTGATGGCGTGGGGGGGTTATTGCTCTAAAGTAAATCGCGCCATGTGTCTCGCAGCGTGTAGGGTTCTTAAAAGGGTTGATAAAGTGTGTGCAAGGCAACATGACAACGTGGGTTAGGAGCCATTCAAGGACCCGTAAATGAGGGGCGGATCGTCATTCTTTAATTTCCCGCCGCCGTCCAGAGAAGGACAGGCGGGAACAAGCGGCATTGTTAGACATGAAACGTGAAGTGGGAGAGTGTAGAGAACTCCCTTCTCT